TGTAAACTTTTAATCACATTTGTTGGGAAAACTGTTACGTTGTTTATATAGCATTGTTTTAGTAAGTTTTAGAGGGGCTTGGTTTGGCCCGATTTTTTTATTTAGTATAGATTTATACTTAAACATGTGATCTTTATTGTATTATGATTGTTATTGGGATCAAACATCGAAATGGAATTTTTTGCACTTTTTTGTACGCAGCATGGACGGGTTGCGCTTTTTAACGTAGGATTTTATTGTTTACGTATGTGATGTTTAGATTTGTGTACAATGAATTTTAGGTGTATCTTGTAATTTTATTGTTTGTTGCGGTTGAACCCAAATCAAGAGCCGAATGGCTCACAGGGTAAATCCTAATTAATGAACTGAAATGAACTGAATGTAGGTCCAGCCTATGGGCTATCTGGAACAATGCAGGTCCAGCCTATGGGCTATCTGGAACAATGCAGGTCCAGCCTATGGGCTATCTGGAACAATGCAGGTCCAGCCTATGGGCTATCTGGAACAATGCAGGTCCAGCCTATGGGCTATCTGGAACAATGCAGGTCCAGCCTATGGGCTATCTGGAACAATGCAGGTCCAGCCTATGGGCTATCTGGAACAATGCAGGTCCAGCCTATGGGCTATCTGGAACAATGCAGGTCCAGCCTATGGGCTATCTGGAACAATGCAGGTCCAGCCTATGGGCTATCTGGAACAATGCAGGTCCAGCCTATGGGCTATCTGGAACAATGCAGGTCCAGCCTATGGGCTATCTGGAACAATGCAGGTCCAGCCTATGGGCTATCTGGAACAATGCAGGTCCAGCCTATGGGCTATCTGGAACAATGCAGGTCCAGCCTATGGGCTATCTGGAACAATGCAGGTCCAGTCTATGGGCTATCTGGAACAATGCAGGTCCAGCCTATGGGCTATCTGGAACAATGCAGGTCCAGCCTATGGGCTATCTGGAACAATGCAGGCCCAGCCTATGGGCTATCTGGAACAATGCAGGTCCAGCCTATGGGCTATCTGGAACAATGCAGGTCCAGCCTATGGTCTATCTGGAACAATGCAGGTCCAGCCTATGGGCTATCTGAAACAATGCAGGTCCAGCCTATGGGCTATCTGGAACAATGCAGGTCCAGCCTATGGGCTATCTGGAACAATGCAGGTCCAGCCTATGGGCTATCTGGAACAATGCAGGTCCACCATATGGGGGTGTCTGGAACAATGCAGGTCCAGCCTATGGGCTATCTGGAACAATGCAGGTCCAGCCTATGGGCTATCTGGAACAATGCAGGTCCAGCCTATGGGCTATCTGGAACAATGCAGTTCCACCATATGGGGGTGTCTGGAACAATGCAGGTCCAGCCTATGGGCTATCTGGAACAATGCAGGTCCACCATATGGGGGTGTCTGGAACAATGCAGGTCCAGCCTATGGGCTATCTGGAACAATGCAGGTCCACCATATGGGGGTGTCTGGAACAATGCAGGTCCAGCCTATGGGCTATCTGGAACAATGCAGGTCCAGCCTATGGGCTATCTGGAACAATGCAGTTCCACCATATGGGGGTGTCTGGAACAATGCAGGTCCAGCCTATGGGCTATCTGGAACAATGCAGGTCCACCATATGGGGGTGTCTGGAACAATGCAGGTCCAGCCTATGGGCTATCTGGAACAATGCAGGTCCAGCCTATGGGCTATCTGGAACAATGCAGGTCCAGCCTATGGGCTATCTGGAACAATGCAGGTCCAGCCTATGGGCTATCTGGAACAATGCAGGTCCAGCCTATGGGCTATCTGGAACAATGCAGGTCCAGCCTATGGGCTATCTGGAACAATGCAGGTCCAGCCTATGGGCTATCTGGAACAATGCAGGTCCAGCCTATGGGCTATCTGGAACAATGCAGGTCCAGCCTATGGGCTATCTGGAACAATGCAGGTCCAGCCTATGGGCTATCTGGAACAATGCAGGTCCAGCCTATGGGCTATCTGGAACAATGCAGTTCCACCATATGGGGGTGTCTGGAACAATGCAGGTCCAGCCTATGGGCTATCTGGAACAATGCAGGTCCACCATATGGGGGTGTCTGGAACAATGCAGGTCCAGCCTATGGGCTATCTGGAACAATGCAGGTCCAGCCTATGGGCTATCTGGAACAATGCAGGTCCAACATATGGGCTATCTGGAACAATGCAGGTCCAGCCTATGGGCTATCTGGAACAATGCAGGTCCAGCCTATGGGCTATCTGGAACAATGCAGGTCCACCATATGGGGGTGTCTGGAACAATGCAGTACCAACCTACAGGCTGTGAGGAACAATTTCCCGGTAGCATTTCTTTAAGCAGATAAATCAACATCAGTTGAATTTTATCTGGGTCTTGTTCAGCGGGGTGTGGCTTGTGTAATAAATAGTTCTGGCAATAGTCAACAACACAGGGGATTTTTCAGCACAATAAAGTGAAGCTGTGGAAAATCACTGCCTTGGTAGTATCAATAAACACACTTTATAGTGTGCACATTTCATGAATCATAACGCATCGTTCGAGATCTCTGAGGCACGGAGCCAGAGTTTAGAGTCCTTCATACGCGAGCCTGAACCAGGTGAGAGCATGAACCAGGTGAGAGCCTGAACCCGGTGAGAGTCTGAACCAGGTGAGAGCCTGAACCAGGTGAGAGACTGAACCCGGTGAGAGTCTGAACCAGGTGAGAGCCTGAACCAGGTGAGAGACTGAACCAGGTGATAGACTGAACCAGGTGAGAGCCTGAACCAGGTGAGAGACTGAATCAGGTGAGGGACTGAACCAGGTGAGAGAGCCTGAACCAGGTGAGAGTCTGAACCAGGTGAGAGACTGAACCAGGTGAGAGTCTGAACCAGGTGAGAGTCTGAACCAGGTGAGAGCCTGAACCAGGTGAGAGCCTGAACCAGGTGAGAGTCTGAACCAGGTGAGAGCCTGATCCAGGTGAGAGACTGAACCAGGTGAGAGCCTGAACCAGGTGATAGTCTGAACCAGGTGAGAGCCTGAACCAGGTGAGAGTCTGAACCAGGTGAGATACTTGAGTTGCTGCTTGAAGGTGGATCATGGTGCTTGGGTGCCGCTGCGTGTGCAGCAGTGGGAGAGATCTTGAGTTGAAGCTTTCGTTACTGCAGGAATCCATACTCTTTGGTTCTTTCGGTAAAGTCACGTAGGTAGAAAAATAAAATAAATCACGACGTTTCGGGCGCAACACAAGCGTCCGTCATCATACCTACGTGGCTTTACCGAAAGAACCAAAGAGAAGTGGGAGAGAGTTCGGATGACTGCCGGTGCAGCTACGGAGAACCGCCGCTCCCCCACGGACGGTCCTGGCTCTGGGTACGATGAGCAGATTGTTGGACTTGCTCGGCGGGACGCGGTGGTGTTCCATGGTCCAGTGGAGTGAGAAGGGTAGAGAGGTGTGGGGGCGGGGAGACCTTGAGAGAGACACCTTGGTGGCACAGGATGGTGGCACAGGATAGTGGTTTTGTACCATGTCCTTGATTTGATGGGGGAGCCAGTGCATGGTTGTTAACATAGCCATGGAAGCCACGTGGGCCACGCCTGATGCCCAGAATAGCGCAAGACATGTTGTTGATTTGGAGGCACTTTAATTTGTGGAGGTGTTTGTTGTGACGTCCAAGTAAGGACACGTTGTGGGCAGCCGTTAACTACTCGGCGCTTTTCCTATGTACTGCAAGTCTGAGTCCGTGGATTTCCTTTAATCATTACTTTTTGTCCAGTTGACCAAAAGCGGTCAGAACACTGAACCCACTCTTAGTTAAAAAACGTTGTTGTGAGGAGTAAGAAATTACCCCCCACCCACCCAGTGTCAGCCAATCAGTGATCTCATACATGTCTTTATTTACATATATAGCCAATTACCAACTTTGGAAGTCTCTATTTGCGTGACTAATTTATCTCGACCTGCATCTTCATTTGGAATCGAAATTTATTTTTGCCAAAAGTAGCAATGCTTCGGATCTTAGCGGGTGGTGGTATTGATAATAATGCACACCGGTATAGCACCTTCCAAAGTTGCTGTACAGAGGTACAAAGGGAAATACAGTTTAAAACAGACGAAAAATGCAGTGGAAAACCTATGAAAATAGTGCAGCCTGGTGATAAGAAAAACCCAATGGTAATAAAAAAAAAGTAAGATAATCATCATTTGCTTGAGGATGTTCATCCACTCATAACCATCGTTGACATTGAGTGGTTTGGTAATGGGCATTTCTGAAGCCACTCTAAAAACTAAAACTATAAACTATTTTTATTCTTTTAAATTTCGATTTAAAGCTTTCGTGACTGCAGGGATTCATCTTGTTGTTTCTTTTGGTAAAGTGACGTAGAATGGAAATAATAAAATAATAAAAATAAAACATAATAAAATAATTCTCACGACCTTTCGGCCACAACGCAAGCAGCCGTCCTCAGGTGAAGAACAGGTCTGTCGACTCTGTCTTGAGAATTATTTTATTATGTTTTCTTTTTATTATTTTATTTTTATTTCCATTCCATTCTACGTATTTTTATTCTACCAGGTAAGGCCCACTGAGCTGTGTAGCTCTTTTTCAGAAGCGACCTGGCCACAAAGGATAGCTCAATGAAGTGACTTATCACGTGGAAATGTATATAAGCCAAATATTCTAAACACATGCTTGTAAATATGGAGGGAAAAGCCAGAGGACCCGGATAAAAATCCACGCGACTACGGCGAGAGAGACGTCACGCAAACTCCAAATGTACAGCAGGCGTCAGGGTCGCGATCAAACCCACGACCTCCTGTATACCAGGCAAGGTAGTTAACATCTCCTAGCCACCGCGGCGTCCCAGTCATTGTGATGGGCAGTGCTGTCGCGGGAAGAGGGGACAGGCCTAGACCCGGCTCCGCTGACACTGCCAGACAAACCAGAAGCACTTGTAATCAACAATAGGGCATACGTTGTGAGCAGCTGTTGTGGCAATGTTTCTGCGATTGTGTTTATTCGCACAGCTTGTGAAGACGACAGAGATAAGGGGATGGATTTATCTGCGAACAACAACAACCCTCAAAATCTCAATGCGAAGAAGACCTTTTGTGGCTTCACGTTGCTGCTGTGTATGCTGCCGTTTGTCCAGCGAGCGTCTTCGAGTGGTGAGTTCAGTCCACTTTCACCTATTAGTATTCCCGAAAACCGTGACTCCTGTTATCGCTGCGGTCTGTTATCTTTTATCCGTAAAGATACGCACAGCTCTGATAAGAGGAATTGCAGGCAGCCGAATTCATCCTGTTATCCATGATTTGTATGTGTACGTAACGCATACCCATCCATGTCTATTTGTGGGTCACTTGGTAACGTACATAAATGTACATGTAGAGCCCCTTTTGTCGATCCACTGCTGGATGAGGGCCTCTGCAAACCGTGCGACTCATGGGGGACACGTTGACATCTACACTTCACGACGCTGGTCATTGTGGGTTGTCGAAGGTGGGGAGTACCTACGCGAGAGCATAGAAGTACAGCACAACGATAGTTTTTGCTACACTACCTGTCTGCTGCCCATCATGTGGTAGGCGCTACGCGTTCATGTGGGTCGTGTTTTAACAATTAATCATCGGGCATTGTTCGATCACCGCTCTATGGGACTGATAGGTTTTAACACGTGGGCTTTCGTGACCAACATTATCCATAATAGAGGTTTTTGGGTTAGATCGCGTAGATATAAACGTGTCGTTAAACCCACCACCACCCGTCACGTAAACGGAACATGCAAATGTGTTACGAGTCAGCACACCGCTGTGTTGGAGAGTAAACCCACAACTTTTTCAATTCGAGTACGACGTTTCGCCAGTAATTACAACCAGCGTCATCATGCGGACAGCCAGCGTTGTGGAGAAATTCTCCTGCCCCGGTCTTAAATAGAGGGATACATGTGATGATGATGTCACACGTGAGCAAATCATATGGGAAGGCCAGAGGGTGGGGGGGGTTAATGTATGCGTATAAATTATAATAAGACCTCGTTATTTCGGTATTTGATCATTCGTAATTGGGGATACTTGAACACAACTGCGCTTTCAGCACATATGCAGTATTAGTAATTCGCCATGAGCCGAATTGCCGGACCGGATGGTCCAATTTCGGCATGACCCAAAACAATGAGTCAGTCTCGTGGTGGCGCCTGGGATGATCCTCCAGCGCCTGAACGTTGAAGGACCCTAGCAGCTACAAAAAGGTGCAGAAGAGGATCAAGGACATTCTTCCACAGGCACCTCTGTCAGCAGTGAAGTGTCACATCAGCTGGTGTCGTCTGGCAGCGAGTAATGTGGTGTAAAAGAATGTCTCAAAGTAAACATGAATTGCTAAGTGATAAATGTGAAGTTTAAGTGCAGTGTCATTTGATGTTTAAGTGAAAATGTCGTGCTAAAGTGAACATGCAGTACTGTAAGTGCATACTAAGTGCATGAAGCCCCCCTTCACAACCTCCATCACCTACCACATAGAACCTACCGCATATTCCTTCTTCGCCTGCAGTGCTGGTTACTTGTTTTTGGAAAATAATGTTTGGAAAACTAATTTTGAAAAAAACGACATTTATTGGGACAGGAGGCACTGGGGATCACCAATGTACATAAATCGGAATATTGGATAATTCTGCAAGGCCAGAACATCATGTGTTGAATTATTACAAAGAATATGAATAAGGGTTTACTGTATAATGTATATCCATCACCGGTTGGGTTATTCATACGGTTACAATGTTTATAGATTATCTAATTAGTCTTGGCCAGTAGTAACTAGTTTTGCACAGAACTTCAACATTATCAAAATCATTTGAGTGTCCTTGTTGGCACGTGTGTCCTGCCACTGCCGACAATTTTATTCGGGAGTATTTAATGTTCCTTTTGTGTTCTTTTAGTCTCGTGCTGATAATTCATCCTAACTAAAATAGCATTTTCCACAGGAGCAATTAATCCGGTACACACCTTCTGTTGATAGCGTCGGTAATACATCTTTAGTAACAGACATTAGCTTTTGCATGTTATGTACCGTGCCAAATCTCACTCGGATGTGTTGTTTTTCCAAAAATCTGGCTAGTTTATCAGTTACTTCCGCAATGTAAGCTATTTTAATAGTTTTAATTGCTTGATCAGTTTCATTTTATTTGGTTTTAGCATTCAGTGCCCTGTCGATTTGTGCATCATTGTAACCGTTCACATTTCTTTAACATGTTTAATCTCACTCCTCAGGCTTTCACCATCTGACACTTTCTTATCCCGATGTATGAGCGTCTTGATGAGAGAGGATTTCTATGCGGGGGGTGATAGGCGTCAGTGTGCGTTTGCTTGCCATTTACTCGGTGTTATTTTACCGTTTTGGCCACGCCCAAGCAGAATATCCAGACATTGAACCTCCACTGCCAATCGTGAACTGGATGGACGGGTTTTGCGAGTTCAGTAGATTTAGAAATACATGAAGTCTATCTATACCCCGTGGCCAGATCACCAATGTGTCATCCACATAAGCTGCTGCTTCAAGGTCTGCTTTGTACAAAAGATAGCCCATTGCTGCTCCCTCCTTTTGTTTATAGAAATCATCTTTCCACCGTGGATATGTGTTCCTTAGACAGTGCTGAGCTGGTCGTGGGATATCCGTGGTGGTTTTAATACATTCATTGTGGTGACGCTGAGACAGATCTTCAGAGGGGATGACGCCAAGGTTTATTTTGAGGCTTTATGCCTAACTCGTTATTGCTCCCACCGACACTCCTGGCTATTCTATTCCCCCCCCCCCCCAGGGAAGGGTACTGGGAATCCCTAATACCCCCTTAACTATCCAGGCTCTTCTCCTTGACTGGCCGAGGGATGATCCAACTTCGGTTAATCGGGAACAGAGCCAGTCTTAGTCCCCTTGTTAGATTCCCCTACCCTGGGTCCCACTCCTAGCCTTCACCTTTCCCAGACTCCCACGACGACCCCACAATAAGTGCCCCTTCTTTCTCGTTACGTGTTCCTCCGTTGAGAGCCCCCAAGTTTCTGCCGCATGTACGCGGCCACATTACGCACACGGTGCACGGCATACTCAAGGGTGATGAAAAAATCGGAGTAGGTTTTACTATTTCTGTGCAATGAAGCAGGTGTTAAGATGTTCGAATACAAAATAGGTACCTTTTGCAAGGCACCAAGTTTGCATGAGCCACACATACTTGTGGCAAAACATGCAAATGCACACGCTCTGATGATATATGCATCGTCTTTGAAACTGATTGGTCTATACCAGAGACAGCCTTTTATACACGCTTGTCTGCTGTATCCTCAAAAGAGAAATCTTGTAGCTCAATTTTTACACACTTCTCAATGTGCTATCGACTGCAAACTTGGTATAGGTATGTTATACTGATGACAACACGATATTCTATAATACAAAATCCAAAATATATATTTTAAAACTTTTTACACGCTTTTATTTAACTTCCTGTATGTGTTGTCGTATCCAAAAATCTTGTAACTCAATTTCAACCGTATTCCCAATGTCGTATCGATTGCAAACTTCGTATAGCTATGTCATACTGATGACAATACTATATTCTATCATTAAAAATGAAAAATATATATTTTTTAACAATCTTTTTAACGGCTCTAATTGTCCACGCTCAACTCACGTTGTTGTCTGTAAATCACCACGTGGTGCCTTACGTCACGGCAAGCCTCGGGGAGCCACGTCCAGGGGCGGGGGATGTGGAAGGAGGGGAGGGGCGATGGGGGAAGGGGGCAGGGGGATGGGCAGCTCGGACAGTACATTTCATTAAATCGTGTTTTAAAGTATTTTTAAAGATTTTATTTTACACGTTTTTATTTAACTCACTGTCTGTTGTTGTCGTTGTATCCTCAAATCTTGTAACTCGATTTTAACCCACGTCCCAATGTGGTATCGACTGCAAACTTGGTATACTTATGGCATACTGATGACAATATCATTTTTTTCTTTTTTTTATGTTATGTTTCGGCTTGGGTCTAATTGTCCACGCTCAACTAACGTTGGCTGTAAATCACCATGGCCCCTTACGTTATGGCAAGCTTTGGGACCACTTCCTGGAGTCGTGGAGTACTTCCATTACTAGTCGGGTACATTTCATTAAAGCGTGTTTTTTAAAAAGTTTTTTTTTAAATATTACTTATTCGTGGCCTTGTCTCACCAGTATTAGACCAGAGAACGCCAAAAGGCGAAACTTGGATTCTGGCAAAAAAAAGTCCCGTAGATAAAACTCAAGGCTATTGCAGATGAGCCGGACGCCGGCCGAGTTTTGCATGACCTCTGCCTCCTCACATTCGCACCCCTTGCCCCGATTGTACATTCCTATCTGTGCCTTCCTATCTGTGCACGCCTATCTGACACATGATTTTAAAGCGAGATTGGTGTCCTGCGCCGTGCCTTTTCAAAACGCCGCAGCTCAATTGAGCCGGAGCGCTCAGCGTGTTTCGCCTCGTCCCCGTACAAATTAAACGTTTGCGAGCTTTCGAAACGACTCCCCGCTCGTTTAAATTGGCAGAGCCGGCCGACTGTAATCGTTTTAGCCAGACGAACACACGTATTGGGCAGCTTATGGTAGGTAGCAGTCACAGGAAGAGGTGTGTTGTTTTTTTTTCTTTCCTGCAGATAATACGAAGACAACGCCATGTATCCAAAGATTGGTTTCTTCACCGTGACGGAGTTGCCCCCTTGCTTAATGCGTCATGAGCAATTACACAAAAACCCCTCTAGTCAACGGGAACCTTCCTGCAATGCAGATTTTTTTTCCCGCGTAAGGGTAACAGCTGCTTTTCATGTACTGTAGACGGGTTCACAGCGGCAAACATTCAAATATAGATTTTAATACAGTATAGGCAAAGCCATACAATACGTGTACACCTTGTTCTTGTACTGCCTTTGACGGAATCCCCCAGAATGCACCCACCCGCGTTGCTTTTGCATCAGCTGCGACGGCATTACCCTGGACAGCCCACGAATTGGGCAACCATCACGCGCACCAGGTTATCGTAGGTGGTTCGCCGCAGAGTCGCGCCACGTTGTGAGCGGCGCATCGCTGCACAATCGGCCGTTGTACTGTGATCCTATGTTCCCACGCCTGCCCGGGCCTTTGCCAACCCGTGCCGGAAAAGCGCGGCGTAGGATTCAGTAGCGGTCTGACCCGCACGGCATGGGGGAGACTCTCATCCAGCAGTGGACTCAATGTACACGGACATTGCTACAATGTTGCCTACTCAACCACGAAGCCGTGGACTCACCGTGAAGGGTGCAATGCTGAAGCTGTCGAAGCTGTGAAGCGTGCAGTATTTTATTAAAGTTTTGCATGTTCTATGCAAATCCCCATTCGTGTTTAAGCGACGCATACATGTGGATACATCGCCTCTCACAAAGCTCTCTTGCGACTATATTTCAAATCCATTCTCTCTCCGTGTCAACCTTGAGCAAGCCTTTTGATTCTCTACTCGGACAGCGCTAAACTTGTTTTTGTAATGTGTCTTGTATGTCTACTCTCTTATTTTATGGACCTAATTTTATGGACCTAATTTTTGCACTTTTTTTTGCGCCTCTGAAATATAAGTTTGGTATATTAAAGGATGACTGCGAGATGTCCTTTCTGTTGGTAATTTTCTTTGCAGTAACGTGAACAAAAACAGTACGGCTGCACTGCACTCTAATCAACAACAACCAGGATTCGATTCTTGGCCACGTCTAACGCCAGTAGCGGCCAACACCTGAACCGTTTCGGCTCCCCTTAGCTAACCCTTGAGTCCGCTTCACGTTGCAATCCAGAATATTGACCATTGTGGTAAAGTATGGTTGAACAACCCCCACGATGGCCGACACACCATCATGGAGAGGCCTTCATCCAGCAGTGGATTAATGATGTGTTGTTTACTGCCTCACGAGTGCTGCCGCCCTCCCCCTGCCCCCACCCTCCCACGTTGTTCATTGTGTCACAATTCAGGGTCGCAATTTAATTCAAGAAGAGATCATATTTTCGTCTCTCTCTTTTTTACGCTCTCATTTATATTGTTTCCCACACGCGCTAAGTCCTGTTCGTACAGCCCAGCCCAAATGTGATGATGAAATTTTCTGGAGCGTGCTTCTCGCACGCATTCATCGGGTGGGGGAGGGGGGGGTGCATGCGTCGTCGTGCGCGGAATAATGCATTTGAATTAATTAACGGCTCCGCGAATTCTGTTGTGTTTTTACACAACAGGGCTCTGGGATATTTTTTGTTATTTGTTAAACTTTTAAACTTCCTGGAATTGAGTTTCCAGCCTCATGTTCCGTAGCTTAACAAAAATGTTGCCTTTTTGGGGGGGTGGGGTCTGTTTCAGAATGGCCTCTGGCCCGCCCGCGTGACGTTGTGCTGAGGTCGGTAAATTTATTCACATCGGTGAGCTGGAAACCGAGCCATGGGGCGCCAGCTGACCAGCTCTACTTGGTGCATTACAGAGGGTAAGTCAGGACACGGACACCCCCGATTATCACGGTTGGCTTCGTACGGTGCGAAAGAAGTTCAACATCCGTGCGAAAGTAGATCAACGTGCGTACGTAAAAAGAAAACGAGTGCCAAAGAGAACAACGGCAGTGGTGTGAAACGATTGAGGCAACCAAGGGCATGGGTTCACTGCATTCCGTATAACGGAGAAGAAAATTACACTGAAAATTACTCAAGTGGGATCACACACCAAGCAATGTCGCCCCCCTTTACTGCGACAAACGTGGCAGGACCCTCCTGGAAAAGTGTCATACGTACATGTGTACGGTTGGTTCAGAACCAGGGGTCATTACAAACGCTCTAAAAATATGTTTTAAACCATGCAAAGAACCGTGAAGAGATGCGTGTTCAGAATTATATCGACAGACAGAAGTTACATTGACAGAGAGCAGACATGGATTTGAGAAATGCACATTGGTTGTGTGTGTGCATGTTTAATTTCTTTCGCACCGTCCGTAGCCAACTTTGCTAATCGGAGGTGCTGGGGAATTACAACAAACTAATCACAAAAAGCAGTTCTAAAGTAATGAGCTTGTGAATCGAGATTGATGACGTCGTTTGAACCATTGAGCGAAGTCTGCATGGGCAGGACACGTCACGGCTAGAAGGCACGATGGCCGATAGTCGTGGATAATGACGGAGTGCTGGCAAAGGAACGGCTTGGTGGGGGAGGCCTTCAGCCGTGGCTTAACCGTGCTGATGATGATGATGACAAAATCCAGACACGGCACACACACGACCTCACATACCCGGCCGCCGAGGCTGAAATGTGTAAATACGTACGACAAGATCGTTGTGCGGCTATTGTCATCAACCGATGGACGAAATGTGTGTGCCTTTGTGTGAGCAGACCTTTCGAGAAACTTAATAATGAGACGATGCTCGTCATGGACGGCTGCAACAGGACCAGCAAGTTGAGTTGCAACCTCACAGATGCCCTCTCCATATGGGCGCCCTACGACATCGAAGTCTGCGCTTGGACCCCGAGCGCCTTGGCTTGTGCCGACATGGAAGAGATCTCAGTTCGAACCGACAGTAAGTCACTTACCTGAGCGCGAAAGATAGGGGTACCATGGTGTCGGGATGTTTACCTCCCTCGCCTGGTATACAGGAGGGCGTGGGTTCGATCCCGACCCTTACGCCTGCTGTATATTGGAGTTTGCGTGTTCTCTTCGTGGCCGCGCAGATTTATCTTCCGGTTTTTCCCCTCCATGTTTAGAAACAAGCTCTCAGAGTATTTCACTGCTGTAAATGTCCACGCGATAAGCCACTTCGTTGTGCTACCATTTGTGGCCAGGTCGCTTCTGAAAAAGAGCTTTACAACTCAGTGGGCCTTACCTGGTAAAATAAAAAATAGTTTTAGTTTGATGACAGATCCTGGTGAAGTATGTTTGCTTTATTGCCGTGTGTGACACATAAGTGAAATTTTGCTTGAATAACCATGCTGAATTTTATCCAACAGCGCAGATAGAAGCTCCTTACATTGACCTCTACGTCGTCGGAAACCACATCAAAATGGCGATGTCGCCCCCAAAGTTACATGAAGAGGACATTAAATACGTGTACAACTCTTTCATTTACAACGTTACGTTGTGTGTGGGCATTCAGGTGAGTAAGCGGTCCCCTCCCCCTTTGCTATGGGGATATATGAACGGCATTGGGATGTGAAGATGTATGGTGGCCACGTGTCTGATGAGCCAGAGGAGACTTTGGACCAGATATAGGGATGCTGTCAGGACAGATCTTGGAGGGTGCGTGTTCTGCAGGGTGATCCACATGTCATGTGACCCCAATTAAATTATCTAAAACCTAATGTTGTTTTCTTCTTGGTTCTTTCGGTAAAGTCACGTAGAAGGGATGTAATAAAATAATAAAAATAAAACATAATAAAATAATTCTCACGACGTTTCGGCTACAACGCAAGCAGCCGTCTTCACCTGAAGACGGCTGCTTGCGTTGTAGCCGAAACGTGAAAATTATTTTATTTTATTATGTTTTATTTTTATTATTTTATTACTTCCCTTCTACGTGACTTTACCGAAAGAACCAAGAAGATGAATCCCTCCAGTCACGAAAGCTTTAAATCGTAACCTAATGTTTTTTTGAAGGTTCATTTAAAACAGAAATGAATATGCAAAGGACAAAAATGTTAGGGGTCGATTAATTGGGGGGTCAGAAGACATCTTAACGGAATTTATATAGCGCCCTGACCAAGGCACTTTACAGAGAATTAGGAATGGAACAACGTGTGAACGTAATGGCGATGAGGTGAATAAAAATAGATGAAGCAATTGGGGGCGAATCTGTCATGATGCGAAATCGGTGAAAGCGAAATTGATGACAGTCAATGCTGATTAATGGATTGAATGAATGGGGAGTGAGTGATAGCCATGCAATGCGAACATGGGAAATTGCCCGATGAAGCTGGTTGTAATTACCAGGGAAACGTACTCAGAGTGTGAATGTTGTTGTCGGATTACTCTCCCAACACAGCGGTGTGCTGCAGTAGTAACTAATTGGCACGTTTTGTTTACTTGACAAAAACCTTACGAATTGGCTGTGGCGGGCGGAGGTGGGTTAACGACACATTGATATTTACGCGATATAACCCCCCAAAAAAAAAAACCGTTATCATGAAATTTATTGGTGCAGAAAGCCCTAAAAGCCTCACTTAACTACTGAGCATCGAGAGCTACTCACTACACAAAGAAACGTACCAAACTAGAATGGTGTTGGCTGTTGTTTCTAAATAGCATGCGCGCGCGTGTGTGTGTGTGTGGGGAGTGATAGTGTAACGGTTAGTGCGCTGGGCTACTAACCTAGCAAACCGAGTTCGATTCCTGTTCACGGCCAACACCAGTGGCGATTATCTGAACCGGTCATGGGCCTCCTCTAGGTCAACTCAGCCTCAAATGAGTAGCTGGTGCGGTGTGTGAAGAAATCGCCACTGGGGAGACAAAGGTGGTCCTCAGTGGTGCTCACCACCCACCCTCTCGTGTGCTGTGCCGGCCTTCATAGGTACTCCTCGCTAACAGGCTCTTTGTCTTTGTGTGTCTTGTGATTATTTTTGTGTCACTGTCAGGAGCATCAGCAGCAGTGCGAGTACTACACGCCCGAGACCACCAGCATGGACTTCAGCAATCTCAAGTACAACACCGAGTACTGCTTTACGGGCCAAATTGTAATGGAAGTGGATAATAATCGGGACAAGCTCAGTGCCGTGTCCCAGCAGGTGTGCCGCACGACCGAAAAGGAGAAAGGTAATAATTAACCCGTAAAAACAAAGTTTTTCACTATAAATCCTCTATATGCGTGGCGGCTAGAGTCCTCTCGTCCTCTGGCTTGAGATGGCTGCCACCTATGGGTCAGATGATTGTCTGCAGTATTAAACAATTGGTAATTAAATATAATATTTTTGTCCTATAAAGTGTAAAATTTTGGAAAAAAAATTTCACGAACATTAATTGTCACGCACAACGAGTCTGTGTGCAAAATGTCAACTCGATTGGATCATGGGAAGTGGGTTAAAAAACGACCGAAAGATTTGCACGGTCGTAAGCAAGCAAGCAAGCACGCACGCAAGCAAGCAAGCAAGCGAACTTAATATAAAGGATTTAAAAAGGTTTGAAAGCGCCAACCGGAATTTTAAGTTTACACTCTGGAGGGGAATTGGGTGTCGGGTCGAGAGGGGCGGGGGGTGGGTGGGGGGGTAAATGGTGGGGCTGGGTGAAGAATGATGATATCGCTATCACACGTACAGTAGTCGGGGGGGGGACCCACGTGTTTACTCATTCTCCAAAATAGTTTAGACAGGTACGAACTTAACGGGTATGGGATTTTCTTTGGTGGGATGGGGCTGTATAGGGGTAAAGAAAAGGGGGACTAAGTCACAACAGGAAACCACCATCCTGGTTAATTAAAGCTAATTAATGGCTATGCGTCCGTAACGTAGGGGATTACTCTAACCCGATGTGTGTCAGGCAGTGGTCTTCATTCCAAGGCCCGTGACCCCCTGGTGTCCTTTAGTGCGGCCCCTGACGTGCGGGGCACTGACAATACACAGAGAGTGACAACACCCCCCCATCATCATCATCATCGTGCTGTCAAACCCCCAATGGTTTCACATGTGTGGCGGCCCTCACACTGATGATGTCTGAAAATTAGTGAAGAACTTTTGTGGAAAGGGGTGCACCTGTGTGTGTAGTTGCATGCCCAGTGTGCGTGCACTCACATTGCCATATCATCTTTCGCGATACGATATTAGATCTCACTATATGACGATCGCAATATCTGTATTCCCATAGCTTTAGACTTTAATGAATTGCTCTTCGCTGTACGTCTGGTACAAATAAAGATTGCGTCAAGGTTCTTCCACGGCAGTTCACTCTGCAACGCCCTAAAAATTGTCCGCCTATAATCACTCCACATTTGCAGTCCGCAGTGCGTATAACGCACACGCTGTCAAGTTACACGCAAAATAATCGAATAGTTTTAACGAAAAGCAAAACACATTTGTCTGTAACACTGTGCGTCGCCTTAAATAGCGAACTATACATACCTGTCAACCCCTTATCAGCGCCCTACCTTATTACAGACCAATTCAGACCTCATTGGTCACCCGAGCCCTTTATAAATCTCAACGTTCATCCTACAAAGTCCCATCACAAGGGAAAAACACAAACAAATAGACAAAAACATGTTGCCCGTATTGAAACAGCTGTATGCTGTATGGACCTGAGAATAAAATTTCCCTGCACAAAAATACGGGTAAACCGTATGGGTTGACAGGTATGACTATATAACACATTCCTGCAGAGGGAGCTGGTCGGAACGTTGGGTTGCTCGGTCAATGGCGTGGTGTATTCCACAAATATGCCCGACTGTGAGGGCGGCCACAAGCCTGCGTGAGTAGGTTAAACATTGAGTTTTATAAGGGCACCACGGGGTGACCTGCCCCTCCCCACCAAGCCCCACCCCTCCCACCCCCCATCCAGCCCCACCCTCCCCACCCAGCCCTTCTCCACCCTCCCCACCCTCCCTTCCCCACCCAGCCCCACCCTCCCCACCCAGCCCCTCCCCACCCTCCCCTCCCCACCCAGCCCCTCCCTGCACAACGGACGGACGGACACAATAATCCCTGTGGGCTGGTGTAACCAGGAGGTGCCTATCAGTAATAGGCAATGCCTTGGGCTATGGCCCTTCTACATGGCACATTCTTCATGTTAGGATTGTTGCCCAAAACATCACCTATTAACATATTTTTCCTTTTAAGGCCACGGTATTGTTGACAAATGTGATTTTTTAGCTCTTGCCACGATGGCAAGATGTTAACTCCCTCGCCTGGTATACAGGATGTCATGGGTTCAATCCCAACCTTGACGCCTGCTGTATATTTGGAGTTTGAGTGTCTCTCTCCCCATGGTCGCGTGCATTTAGAGTGTTGGGCTGCCGTAATTTTCCACGTGATAAGCCACTTCTTTGAGCTATGATTTGTGATAGCCAGGTCGTTTCTGAAAAAGAGCCATATAGCTCAATAGGCCTTACCTGGCAAAATAAAACGAGTGTTAGTGTTGTTATTTGTGCTTGTGCACCACTGGCAACGCAGAAGCATCACAAAATAGTTTACGTAATTTACTGGACTGCCAAAACGATGGAGTATTATTTGCCATCGCACTCCAACAAACATTTAGCAAAATGCAGTGTAATGGATAACAACTCTAATGACAGAGTTTCTTGTTTCATAACATTTTCATCGGGTAATGTTACAAATGTAATTTAGAAAGTATTAAATGAGCAACAATTATCACATATGACGATATTTTCAAAAGGTTTGGTACCTTAAAACTAGAGATTTTTTTCCCCCTATTTTATTTACCAGGTCAAGTCCGCTGAGCTATAAGCAATTTTTTTAAAGAGGTGACCTGATCAACGCATGATAGCTCATTGAAATGACTGACATCATCATGTGGGAAGTTATGTTATCAACCAAATAATATTGATGCATACTCTAAATGTGGAGGCTAAAACTCGGAGGAATCCGGAGAAAAATGAACGTGACATACTGGGAGAGAGAACACGTGAACTCCAGATATACAGGCGTCATGGTTGGGATTGAACACGGGGATAACATTTTTCGCCACGTTATATTGTCATGTTGTGGCGAATCTTAACGCACGTACGCGTATGTCCGGAGTCCTATAGCTAAAAGCACGTGACACGCAGTTGTCGTTGCCTGTGATGTGGCACTTTGGAGCCAGCCTCGTCTGAGGATTTTGTGCAACACTCAAGAGTAGACCGATGAGTCCTAATATGGACGAAACTGGTCTCCTGTTTCCAGTCTCCATCTCACTTCTGCCTGTCAAGTCAGGCCACGTGCTTAAATTTATTTTGAGGTTGACCGAAGAACAGAGGACAACCGCGCAGTTCATCAGAATCTGATGATGGTTTTTGCATAATGCACAAATGCTGAGTGCTTTTTACACGCTTTTATTTAACTCACTCTGTTGTTGTTGTCGTATCCTCAACTCAATTTTAACCCACTTCCCAATGTGCTATCGACTGCAAACTTGGTATACTTATGTCATACTGATGACAATACTATATTCTAACATTAAAAATAAAAAAATTAAACCATCTTTTTTATATGTTATGTAAATCACCACGGCCCCTTACGTTATGGCAAGCTTCGGGGCCACTTCCTGGAGTCGTGGAGTTTTGCCATTACCAGTACGGTACATTTCATTAAAGCGTGTTTTCAAAAAGTTTTTTTTAAAATATTACTTATTGTTCCTGTAGTTCCACGTGATTTGTATTTGTCCCTGAACAAACTTTCTCTTGGCAGCGTCAAAGTGGATGGTTTTCACCACCTTCCTGGTGTCGGTGATCGTTTCATTTGCCGTCGTGTTCACGCTGTTGCTGCTGGGACACAAGATCTTCAAAATGGCTCGCTACGTCTTTGTAGTGGATATGCCGCTTCCTAAAACTCTCTGTGGCATACCTTCCAAACAGGTAAGAGTGTTAAATCTTGACTTAAAAGCTTTCGTGACTGCAGCAATTAATAGTCGTGGGTCTTTCGGTAAAGTCACGTAGATAGGTTCAAAGGAAATAACAAAAAATAACAACAAAAAACTACGACGTTTCGATTGCAACACAAGCGGTCGTTTTCAGGAAGAAAAAAAAAGACGACCGCTTGTGTTGCGATCGAAACGTCGTAGATTTTTGTTATTTTTTGTTATTTTCTTTGAACCTATCTACGTGACTTTACTGAAAGACCCAAGAATAGGTAAGAGTGTTGTTTGGTTTCATCTACCCGTTAACATTTGCCACATATCACCAAAAATAAGATGGCGTGCAGTAACATCTGTCAACGCTTCAACCTTGGCATTGTTTGTGTCTTTTCTCCAGATGCTCCGGTTTCTTCCCACACGTGAACATTTGTCAATTGTGCTGATAACCCCAAAATATATTTAGAATATTTTTGCCTGCAATAAATGTCCACATGATTAGCCACTTACTTCGTTGAGCTATCATTTGTGGCCAGGTCGCTTCTGACAAAGAGCTATACAGCTCCGTGGGCCTTAGCTGGTAAAATAGAAAAAATGTTTGTTATATAGAGGACTGCAGAGCTTGGAGGGGACTTGTCTGCCCAGCGCTCCTTTTTAAATCCTTTATATTAAGTTCGCTTGCTTGCTTGCTTGCGTGCTTGCTTGCTTACGACCGTGCAAATCTTTCGGTCGTTTTTTAACCCACTTCCCGTGATTCAATCGAGCTGACATTTTCCACACAGACTCGCTGTGCCAGACAATTAATGTTCGTGAAAAAAATTTCCCAAAATTTTACACTTTTTAGGCAAAAAAATAATATTTTACATATATTCAAATAGAACTCATTCTTGGCTTTGGCTGAACGTCACAGTATAAGAGCCCAGAGCGTAACCCCTCGACAGGCCGTGGCGGAGTAGCGCAGTTGGTAGCGCCCTCGCTTCCCATGCCAAAGGTCGCGGGATCGATCCCCGCGTCCTCCACAGGCGAATATATTTTTTAATCCTTTATATTAAGTTCGCTGCCACGCATATAAAGGATTTAGAGTGAAAAACTTTGTTTTTACGGGTTATACTTGTTCTTCCTGCTGCTCATCTTGAGCTGTGCCCTCTTTGTTTTGGGGTTTATCTTGTCATGGCATCCCTTCCTTTGCCAATTACTTTCTATTTTTTTTCCATATGTTATATCCATTGACTCTACCCCCTTCCCCGTTGTATGCCACGGGTAAAGGTTGTTCTGTTACCACCATTAGTGTCTGGCCTCGTTACTCTTGACATCAGCTGTCGTGTGTTGCTTGCAGAACGGAACGTTTCTACTCAGCTCTGATAAAGATGTGATTAAAGAAGTGAACATCTGCAGCACTGTTGAAGTCATGTGTGACGACGTGGAAGACGACTACATTGTCAACGGGTTAGGCCTACAATCATAGCTTCTAAAGTCCTTTCTGTTGTTTTTTTTATTCAAAAACATTTTTTGCCATCACTGACGTGTAATGGATTTAGAGACACTTTTGAACTGACAGACAAGTTTAGGGTTATGTCTCCCACTCTTGTACAAATGCTGCATTATGAGCCTTCGTCACAATGCTGATTTTGTCTCTTTATCAATGATGACTCCATGTCTCGTTGCTGTTTTTAAAACTGGATCAGCAGAAATGTTGGTTAATTCAACTCTCATGGATCATTTAAAATTAATCAAACCGATGAAGAAAGGCCCGTTGGCCCAAACGTCGTACATATTATAATATTGGCCTGCTGAGGTTAACAAGACATGTTTTAAGCATTGGAAACAACCAATTTTGCAGTACCTTTTTAAATTATGTATATATTACACGTACATATATTTTATTAATATTTCATAATTTCCCCTGGTTGTTCACGCGCGGAGTCTCAAAGTACTTGTGTAATTTTTATGATGCGTGTACAGTATTTGTGTTTACACTGGACAAAAGAGTACTTAATGATTACATGTTCTAAGAAATGAATACAGCAAAATTCCAATTATCGGTGAACAGTGGATTACAGGAGTAATTAGCCATGTGACTCTGTTAATCCATCACCTGATTAGTTACTCCATGAATCCACAATAAATTTGCGGATTTCGAGGTCATACTTTTTTTTTCAAGACCCAAATTGAGACAATTCTGACACATCGGCCAATGCTAAAGGATGTTAGTGCACTTTTGAGACTCGGTATCCAAGTCTTTCTCTGTGCCATGTCCTTTCTCAAAGATGTCAGCGATTATGGGCTTCCTCACATTTATCTCTGTTCATGCAATTATTATTCAAGAACTTCGCGTAAGATACTTCCGGTTTTAACCATTTATTAAAATCGTTTTGTAACATAATTCACCATCTTCCCTACCTTGTCAAACAAAGGCAAATAATGTTCGCCTCCGTTGCGATCTGCAGCTCCGCGATTTTACCTGCAGCTAGGCTATTCAAACACTTTACAGTGCGAATTTGGATGGATTGGATGGAAGCCAGCGGCCCCTTGGCAATGCGAAGCGCTTTACAATGAAGCCCTCATCGGAAGAGATCCAGAAATCCGCGATTCACGGACGATTTCTGGATCAGCGTGTCCCGTAGATGTTGGGACGAGTCGTGAGCTACGGTTAATTTGCGAAATGATAGGACATGGCGGTTTATTGGAGCGTGTGGGTTTGAGTTGTGCTACAATGCAAAACCGAGGGAACACGAGTGACAGTTTAGAATCGGTGTCGCGCATTTAACATTAACACGTGGAGTGTAATTTAACTTGCTATCCAGCCCGTTTGATCACTCTTTTTGGAAAATGCATGGACATAGCGATCCACCTGGCTTTATGAGACATAGATTTGTGTCCTGTCCGTGTGGTCCTCTGTCTCTCAGCGTAATTGCAACCATGCACCTCCCCCATGCTTCTATGTGCACTTAACAGTTTTTATCCCAAAAAACCTCTTATGGAGTTTTTGCCCCATTTTTTAGACCGTGTTTCCTGGTCCACTTTGTCATTGCAGGCAGGGGCGGTTTCTTCATTAGGGCGATTGGGCGACGCACCACCAATGTCATTCAACCACAGAGTCACGCTAGCCGTCACTGTGCCTCTGGATATAGTCCAATCAGCGTCATGCTACGTTCTGTGGAGTACCGCCTCTTTTTGGGCGATTTCCCTCCAGCTGAGAATCGCCCCGAGTGGCCCCATAGACTTACATTCAAAGATGTTTTTTTTCGAACGGGGGCGCTGCAATGCATTCTCTATGGCTTCCGGGAGGGCTCGCCCTAACGTGCTTACATCATCATACGTGCCTACGTCATCATACGTAAGCACGTTTCATCCAACAATATAATTTGTTGCCACCTAGTGGAATCTTTAATAAAATAAACTTGAGTGGTTTGTTTTAATAGTGAGTATAGAAACAAACAAGATGTATTGTAAGAGTCACTTTATTTTTCATTAATATTAGAGAAGTGAAGTTGCCTTTACATGCTTAAGCTGTTAATTTATCCTTTGCATGGGTGGACCTTATCCTTATCAATCATCCAGACATTTGCCCCCCCTGAGAGATTTTGCAGGAGCCGCCACTGATTGCAGGTAATATGTACTTCATGTCGTATCACTGCGTAACTCTCGCTAATGATGTCACATGATCTTAAAAGTCACTTGTCAGAAGGTTGACCTCTTCACCACTCAGTTACATTACAAAGTGGACTTCTGTTGACGTGGGTGTTTGACCACCTGAAGACTCTACTGCCTTGGTTTGAAATGCGTTAACCACTATGCTAATGAAATATTAAACAGTAGTGGGGGAACCCCTCTTATTTATTCATGATGAAATGGGGGGGGGGGGGGGGTTCGGTTAAGAGGATGGAATCCGTTTCTTAAAATTAGTTTGTAATATAGATTATTCCAATATCCTGTTTAGCTTTGAATTCCTCCATGCTTTCGTATAAACACTGGATCTCGCATCCGTGAACTTTGAATGTTCAACTTCTTTGCACACAATAAAATACCGTAAATGCGTGTCGCATACTGCACTTGGCCAAGTCCGTTGCGTGACCTGTACATTTTTTTTACTTGATTGTTGCAATGAACAATCTATGTTGTCAATGTGAATCCTTGTAATAAATTGACTGCATTGGGTTCGGTTTGCGGGCATGCTGGCACACTGCATTTGCTTCGATCTCTCTGCTCGGCAGTTGAAACAACGATGCAAGATTTTTTTCTTTGAAATTTCCCCCCCACCACCCGGTGTCTGGCCACCCAGCGATAGAAATGTTTACACCACAGCTGATCGGCAGATCGAGTGTGGCGAGGGTAGAGCGTTGGTACTCCCATCTCTTGTAAGACGACTCCCAGTGTGGAAGAGTAGGCCAAAGTCCCGCCCCTCCTCGGAGGGGTTCTCAAGCGCTGTCTCCAGTGGAGGCCCCTTCCGCTGGCAGTGGCATAAGCAAGACATTTCGAGGACTGCGCCTTTACCTAATTTTCATCTATTGGGATAGCAAGAAAGTTGATATTTTGCTATTGTAAGCCTACATATGTAGTGCGTTCAAGGAGACATAGACGACGTAGTCGGAGGCACACTTATTTATTTACACACCGGGGGAATAATACAGCTCTTGAAGGGGTAGCGGCCCCTTCACCCGTCTAACAAAGAGACACCACTAGCGCTAACCCCGGCTAGTCTGCTCCCGGGTCCTCCACTAGAGAGTTAGGGGAGGCTAGCTGATCCGGCCCTGGTCAAGCTCGGATCTCGGCACCCTTAGCCAACCAGACCGGCTCTTACAAGAGCATCGGATCTGGGCTCTCAGGGCCGCGCCACTGGCTTGCCCTGGTCGGTCCTTAGAAGGACAGCGAGCCAGCGGAGTCCCTGGGCCTATTCTGCTGGCCTTCGATCTTCGCTGGTTAAGCTGCAACACTCGACCTCGAGCCCACCGGCTCCCCGCCTTATATAGCAACTCCCCCCCGAGGGGTGGGGCTGTGGGGGATCACAGCGCCACCACAGCCCCCCAGGGCTAACCGTTGCGGACGTGGATGTAGGCACCCTTATGTGTGCGGGCGCAAACACCCCTTGTGTGTTTATTTGCCCACCGGTAACACCCCTACACATACAGTGTTATACTGGTAGGAACCTCCTGGTTACACCAGCCCACGGGATTAGCAACCCAACGTTCCGACCAGCTCCCTCCGCAGGAATTTGTTGTGAACCCTATGCATGTATCGTTCGTAATCAGGCATTGGTCTATGCATGTCTGCCTGCATGCATGCCTCTAATTACACCAACACAGCATGTGTGGTGTATTATGAACTACCTTGTACAGCAGTGTGCACAGTTTATGCCCCCCTCGAAGACTCGGGAGGCGCCAGGAAGCGCAGACAAAGCGAGCTGGTGCCAACAATTGGCCAAACTGCAGCACCCGGGAGAAACCCTACGCGCGCACGAGGGGAACACCATCATCCAGAAGAAACACGGATGGGGGATTAGTCCACGTTTCTCTGTACCGCCTTCTCATGGCAAGCCAGGGCATTTCAGTTTTCAGTTTCATTTATTTGGTATAGACATGTGAGCCATTCGGCTCTTGAATCGGGTGCAACCGCAACAAACAAAAACATGAACAAGAAAACATCTTAAAGTGAATGTGACTATGTGCAAACAAAATCCAAGAAAAAACAGCAAAATATTGCAGAAAAAGCACCGTACACCAACGCTGTGTGCAAAAATCCCAGTGGGATGCAAGTCAAACAACAACCACAACCAGGGGCGGTTTCTTCATTAGGGCGATTGGGCGACGCACCACCAATGTCATTCAACCACAGAGTCACGCTAGCCGTCACTGTGCCTCTGGATATAGTCCAATCAGCGTCATGCTACGTTCTGTGGAGTACCGCCTCTTTTTGGGCGATTTCCCTCCGGCTGAGAATCGCCCCGAGTGGTCCCATAGACTTACATTCAAAGATGTTTTTTTTCGAACGGGGGGCGCTGCAATGCATTCTCTATGGCTTCCGGGAGGGCTCGCACTAACGTGCTTACGTCATCATACGTAAGCACGTTTCATCCAACAAAATTATTTGTCGCCACCTAGTGGAATCTTTAATAAAATAAACATGAGTGGATTGTATTAATAGTGAGTATAGAAACAAACAAGATGTATTGTAAGAGTCACTTTATTTTTCATTAATATTAAGAAGTGAAGTTGCCTTTACATGCTTAAGCTGTTAATTTATCCTTTGCATGGGTGGACCTTATCCTTATCAATCATCCAGACATTTGCCCCCCCTGAGAGATTTTGCAGGAGCCGCCACTGACCACAACTTAGATTAAGGCCATCAGTCGAACTCCGTACTCCAACAAACAAACATGGCCAAACCAAAAAACGTTCTCGAAATCACCAAAATGAAGCCATGTCTCCTGGATGCCCACAACATTTGTGGGACCCATCAACCCTCACCTCCGCCGTGCTGGACTATCGGCGTGCATCAGAGGTCGCAAACGGGTTTTGATTCCTTACCCGTACCCGTACCCGGCCGCACCAGGGTCGCAAACGGGTATCCGTACCTGATTGCGACCTCTGGGATGAAGCCATATTGCAGGCGCGGGTGGGTTGATTCTAGGAACTTGAATTGTGAGAAGAGACAAGACGTTGGGAAATGAGTGACAAACAGTTACCAGTGACTCACGGTCTACCCGTACCCGTACCCAGCCGCACCAGGGTCGCAAACGGGTACGGGTAGCCAGGTATCGGGTAGGGTACGGGTATCGGGTACCCGGTTGCGACCTCTGGCGTGCATCGCCACTGCCAGGAACATCCGGGACGAGGCACAAACGCACAGCACAGACATCATAAATTCACTGCTTGGAAACGTTGGGCTTGGACAGGGCAATAGACGAGAATCGTGATTGAATTGGCAGCCAAATGAGAGAACGCGTTCGAGGGGAAGACGGATCACTTCGTTCCGTTCATCATTGGGGGCCGTCCATAAATGACGTCATGCACCTGGCGGAGGGGGGGGGGTGGTTAGACATTTGTGACGATGTGTGACGAGGGGGGGGGGTGAGAAATGTGACGTCACATCAAAATGCGCAACTTTAAATATAGACAACACGTTCTACTTAATTCAATCGACTTTTTAATAAATAAAAATTCTGCTACATCAGAGTGCAGCGCCACATTAAATACGCACTACAATGACAATAGTTTACATCGATTTGAAGCATTTTTTGGGGGGGAGGGGGGGCAGAGCTTTGTGACGTCATATTTGAGGAGGGTCTGACTTTGTGACGCTGTGACGATGGGGGGAGGGGGTCAAAAATCGTCCAAAATCGCGTGACGTCATTTATGGACGGCCCCTAATCCCCCAGCCCCTACTGGGGGCCTGGAGTGTCCACCTCCAGGTTGCCTGACCCACGGGTCCTACTTGGTACAGGAGGGAGCCGCTACTGCCCCCTGTTGACCCATGGCTGGCGCTGCCTATAACCAGTCGTGGTGACGGCGTATGACGCCTGACTCACCACATACGGACCTGAACTTCTTTCGCACCTTCTTGGTTCTTTCGGTAAAGTCACGCAGAAGGGAAATAATAAAATAATAAACATAAAACATAATAAAATACAATTCTCACGGCGTTTTGGCCACAACGCAAGCAGCCGTCCTCAGGTGAAGAACAGGTCTGTCGGAAAGACAGCGTCTGAATGAACACCACCAAGCTTGGCAGCGTATATTTAAGCTGGGTTAGGGGAGGAAGGGCGCCTTGACAAAGGAATTTGCATATCATCAGAGGAATTTATCATATTTACGGAAAATGCAGATATGGGATTAGTCACTACTTGTGGAATGCGTAGGAGGTGGGGGGGGGGGTCTCAAAGTCATATTATGCCCGTGCATTATGTAGGATTAGCAGCATCAAAGGGAGGGAGTAGGGTTAGCAGTAATAAAGGGAAGGAAATTTAATAGTAACGAGCTGCAGCAGCTAAACCACCACGTAAAAAAACTAAAATATAAACTACATCAGTATCATCAATATAATAAATATACTCTCCAATAAGCTGAGCTACTAACAGTAAGTCATACATTACAATTCTATGTCGTGCAAATGGAAACCGCACCCTGCCAGTGCAGCAATGCCACGAGGCGAGCGATATGGTGTTCGCCGATTGTTGCAGAGGGTCACAGGTTCGAATCCAGTGACCGCCCTGGTTAATACTGCGGGAATCTACCTATCGAAATTAATATCATACGTGGCGTCTGCTTCGCATTGGACGTTTAAGATGCCGTGGCGTCATGGTCCAAATGTGAAAACATTTACCCGCAAATTACTTAACTGGAAAACATAGTAATCTTATATTCATATAGCGCTTTAATCCAAGGCGCTTAACAAGGTTTTACGATTTAAAGCTTTCGTGACTGCAGGGATTCATCTTCTTGGTTCTTTCGGTAAAGTCACGTAGAAGGGAAGTAATAAAATAATAAAAATAAAACATAATAAAATAAAACATTATTATGTTTTATTTTTATTATTTTATTACTTCCCTTCTACGTGACTTTACCGAAAGAACCAATAAGAAGGTTTTACGAGTGGCACAATGAGGGTGGCTACTAAAAGTGATGCGGTGAGTAGGGATGGGGTATGTGGAAGGAGGTGAGTGGGTCCGGGAATTACGGTGGGTACCTCGGGATGGAGGGGAAGGGTGGGCCAGGGAGGAGAGGTGGGGTCTTGAACTAGACAGGGAGGGTGATCACTTAATATGAAACATTGACAGGTTCTCTCTTGAAACAAGTCTTAAGAATGTATCTTCTTGGTTCTTTCGGTAAAGTCACGTAGAAGGGAAATAATAAAATAAAAAATAATTAAACAATCAAATACAACGACGTTTCGGCCACAACGCAAGCAGCCGTCCTCAGGTGAAGAACAGGGCTGACAGAAAGACAGCGTCTGAATGAACACCACCAGGCTTGGCAGCGTTTATTTAAGTTGGGTTAGAAGAGAGCGCCTTGACAAAGGGATTTACATATCAACAGATTAATTTTGCATATTTATGGAAAATGCAGATATGGGTTTAGTCACTACTTGTGGAATGTGTAGGTGGTGGGGGGGGTCTCAAAGTCATATTACGTGACTTTACCGAAAGAACCAAGAAGATGAATCCCTGCAGTCACGAAAGCTTTAAATCTTTAAAAAAATCTTAAGAATTTGTTGTATATTTGACTGAAGCATGTTTATTTGTTTTTTTTTTTTGGGGGGGGGGGGGCAGAGCTTTGTGACGTCATATTTCAGGGGGGGGGGGTCTGACATTTTGTGACGCCGTGTGACGAGGGGGGGGGGAGGTCAAAAATCATCCAAAATCGTGTGACGTCATTTATGGACGGCCCCCAAATGGTCAGCAACCTGAGGCTCTTTAAAAAAGGACTGCTTCGTGACGTTAATTCGATCAAAAGGACGTGCCCGTCTCGTATTCGCCGCAGTCCATCGCGGCTCTTCGAAACATTGAGTTTGCTTCTACATCTTCTTGGTTCTTTCGGTAAAGTCACGTAGAAGGGAAGTAATAAAATAATAAAAATAAAACATAATAAAATAAAATAATTCTCACGACGTTTCGGCTACAACGCAAGCAGCCGTCTTCAGGTGAAGAATGAGACAATGCCAAGCTAGGAGCTTATATATAAGCTGCGTTGGAGGTGGAAGAAAGAGCGCCTTAACAAAAGAATGTGCATATGAAGAGGAATTTAGCATATTCATGGGAAATGCGTAGGAGGTGGGCGGGGGGGTTTCAAAGTCATATTATGCCCATGCATTATGCAGGATCAACAGCACCAAGGGGGGGTGCAGGGATTAGCAGTAACAAAGGAAGGAATGTTAATGATATGTAGCTGCAGTTACTCAACAACCACGTAGAAAACTAAAGTATAAACTACATAAAAAACTAAAGTATAAATAGCATAGCACCATCAGTATACTTACTATACTCTACACTAAGCTGAGTTACTAACAGCAAGTAATACATTACAATTCTACGTCGTAAAAATTATATAATATGCTTCCATCTAAACTTTATTCTATTGCATCACACGAGCATATACCGTACTATATACTGCCAACATTAAATTATATACTGTATTGCTGTAAACCAACCTATATCTTATACATTTAATATAACACTATGTATTATTCTACCCACCCTAATGTGTGTCGAAATGGTTTATTACGTCCTTCCAATGATTGCTAAGCCAGAATCCATCTTCTCGGTTAAAATTGTCTCTGTGTTTGTATATGTGGATCGCCTCATGAACGAATCTCTCATGATAGCCAGATGGCTTGCAGAGAACCTCTGTCTTGGAGAAGTCAATATCATGTGAGCCCACTGAGTTGTAACAGTGATCTGCCACGGCTGAGGTGTTTGTCCTACCGTGTTTCAGGTCAGCTTTATGTTCACGGATGCAGTCCGAGACATGTCGTTTGGTTTCCCCAATGTAACTGCTACCACAGAGGAAACTTAGTTTGTAGACGCCAGGGTACTGTATGTCTGGAACCACATCTTTTACAGACGGTACCAGATCACGGATTTTATGTACTGTGTTGAATCGGACCTGGATCTTGTGTTTAATCAGGATTTTGGAGATATTTTTTGTGACCCCAGCAATGTAGGGTAAGGTGATGGTCTTGAAAGGCTCCTCAACAGGATCCTTCTTGATGGTTGGAGTGATGGCTTTGCGGATTGTGTAGTCGGAGTAACCATTAGCCTTAAGAGCTTGGCGTACGTGTTTGAGTTCACTGGCAATGTGTTCATGGTCGGAGATGCATTGGGCTCTATGATATAGAGTCTTGATGAGGGAATTATTCTGGGATGGATGGTGGTGGGAATCCGGTTTTAGATAAGCATCCGTATGGGTGGCTTTCCTGTAGACAGAGTGGCTCACTGAACCATCAGGTCTCCTTTTGATTAGGACATCCAAAAAGGGTAGCTTGCCATCTTTTTCGACTTCCATGGTGAATCTGATGGCTGGGTGTATGGAGTTGATGTGGTCGAGAAATTGGTCTAGAGCAGCACGGCCATGTGGCCAGATGACAAAAGTGTCGTCTACGTACCTCTTCCATAAGGTCGGGCGTAGAGTGGCAGTCTGGATGGCGTCCGTCTCAAATTTCTCCATGAAGATGTTGGCTACAACCGGAGATAGGGGGGAGCCCATTGGGGTGCCCTCAGTTTGCTTGTAGAAAGTTTCATTCCAGGTGAAGTATGTATTGGTTAAGCAGTGTCTCACCAGGGGGGGTACCCCAGCATTCAGTCCATGATGAACCAAGTCTTCAATGATTGCGATGGTATCAGGTACAGGAACCTTGGTGAATAAGGAAACCACATCAAAACTGACAAGCAGGTCGTCTGGGGACAGGGCAATCCCCTTGATTGTCGATACCAGGTCAGTAGAGTTTAGTACCGCAGAGGTGGTTTTTCCAGTGAAAGGCCGTAGGATTTCAGAGGTTCTCTGCAAGCCATCTGGCTATCATGAGAGATTCGTTCATGAGGCGATCCACATATACAAACACAGAGACAATTTTAACCGAGAAGATGGATTCTGGCTTAGCAATCATTGGAAGGACGTAATAAACCATTTCGACACACATTAGGGTGGGTAGAATAATACATAGTGTTATATTAAATGTATAAGATATAGGTTGGTTTACAGCAATACAGTATATAATTTAATGTTGGCAGTATATAGTACGGTATATGCTCGTGTGATGCAATAGAATAAAGTTTAGATGGAAGCATATTATATCATTTTTACGACGTAGAATTGTAATGTATTACTTGCTGTTAGTAACTCAGCTTAGTGTAGAGTATAGTAAGTATACTGATGGTGCTATGCTATTTATACTTTAGTTTTTTTATGTAGTTTATACTTTAGTTTTCTACGTGGTTGTTGAGTAACTGCAGCTACATATCATTAACATTCCTTTCCTTTGTTACTGCTAATCCCTGCACCCCCCCCTTGGTGCTGTTGATCCTGCATAATGCATGGGCATAATATGACTTTGAAACCCCCCCGCCCACCTCCTACGCATTTCCCATGAATATGCTAAATTCCTCTTCATATGCACATTCTTTTGTTAAGGCGCTCTTTCTTCCACCTCCAACGCAGCTTATATATAAGCTCCTAGCTTGGCATTGTCTCATTCTTCACCTGAAGACGGCTGCTTGCGTTGTAGCCGAAACGTCGTGAGAATTATTTTATTTTATTATGTTTTATTTTTATTATTTTATTACTTCCCTTCTACGTGACTTTACCGAAAGAACCAAGAAGATGAATCCCTGCAGTCACGAAAGCTTTAAATCGAAATTTGCTTCTACAGTTGAAGCTTTCGTGACTGCAAGGATTCATACTCTTGGGGTTTTTTCGGTAAAGTCACGTAGGTAAAAATAAGTAAATAATAAAGTAATATTGATAATAATCGAAAATAAGTATTTTATTTATATTTTTTATATTACTTTACTATAATAAAATAATATAAATAATAGATAAAAAATATTCTTTTATCGCCATTATTATCAATATTATTTTATTATTTGCTAATACTAATTTTATTTCTATTATTTTATTATTTACTTATTTTTTACCGACGTGAATTTACAGAAAAAACCTAAGAGTATTGAGTTTGCTGCTGCGGATTTTTTTTTTACCGAATTCGATATTTTGTTATCCTCTTAACAAAGGCTCAGCCTTTGTTATGCAGTCTATTCTTAGTCTCAAGCCTCACCTTACCATATTAATAAAAGTATGCGGCCCTTGCCCCACCACCTTCTCCAACCATTATATATACGGAGTGGTAGCTTCTGCAATCTCTCATTTACTTGATACAGCTGTCGTGGCTGTGACGGTACCACCTGAAGACGGAAGCTTGTGTTGCCTCCGAAACGTCGTGATTTTTATTTTATTTTACTTTTTAATGTTTTTTACCTACGTGACTTTACCGAAAAAACCTAAGAATATGAATCATTGCAGTCACGAAAGCTTCAAATCTAGAATTATCGTTGTTTTCTTGGTTTACCCACCGCCGTTGCTTGGCCACGCGGTGGTCTTGAGCGGTGCGGGCCACGTGACCCAGTCAACGCAGCCTCAGAGGCCGTCCATAAATGACGTCACGCGATTTTGGACGATTTTTGACCCCCCCCCCTCTCGTCACACGGCGTCACAAAAAGTCAGACCCCCCTCAAATATGACGTCACAAAGCTCTGCCCCCCCAAAAAAATAAAACATGCTTCAAATCGCTTTAACTATTGTCATTGTAGTGCGTATTTAATGTGGCGCTGCACTCTGATGTTGTAGAAGAAAGCATTTATTAAAAAGTCTATTTAATTAAGTAGAACGTGTTGTCTATATTTATTTAAAGTTGCGCATTTTGATGTGACGTCACATTTCTCACCCCCCCCCCCTCGTCACACATCGTCACAAATGTCTCACCCCCCCCCCTAGGTGCGTGACGTCATTTATGGGCGGCCCCTTTGTTGGTGAAGCTCACGGGAAGCGCTGCGAACCTCGCGGCTCAAGATCACGGCCACCAACACCCGCGACGATTATACATTCAACCCCTAGGTCGACTCAGCCTCAAACGGGTACCCAGTCCGGGTGTGTAAAAAAAACGTCGCCACTGGGGAGACAAAGGCGGCCGGGCGGGGTTGCTGGCCACCCACTCCCCTCGTGTGCCAGGCCAGGTGCACTTGCCCCAACAGTCTGTCACAGGCTACACGGGGGACCTTTGTCTAAAGCGCCGGTGCGTGGTGACGTCACGCGGTACAGGGGCGAGGCGACGCCGCTCGGCGCCCGGTGGTGCGCGGTGACGTCACGCGGCGGGAGGCGGTGCGCGGTGACGTCACGCGGCGGGAGGCGGTGCGCGGTGACGTCACGCAGCGGGAGGTTGTGCGTGTTGACGTCACGCGGTGGGAGGTGGTGCGCGGTGACGTCACGCGGCGGGAGGCGGTGCGCGGTGACGTCACGCGGCGGGAGGCGGTCCGCGGTGACGTCACGCGGCGGGAGGCGGTGCGCGGTGACGTCACGCGGCGGGAGCGAAAGGCGGCATCTTCGTAGCTGGGTGGCGGACGCGAGGTACGAACACAACAACACACCACTCATACACTACTACACTACTAATACACTAACAATACACTAACAACACACCACTCATACACCACTAACACACCACTCATACACCACTAATACACCACTACTAACACACTACTCATACACCACTAATACACTAACAATACACCACCCATACACCACTAATACACTACTAATACACTAACAATACACCACTAACACACCACTAATACACTACTACTAACACACCACTCATACACCACCCATACACCACTACTAATACACTACTACTAATACACTAACAATACACCACTCATACACTACTACTACTAATACACTAACACCACCACTCATACATTACTACACTACTAATACACTACTACTACTAATACACTAACACCACCATCGCAATAATACACTAATACATTAACAACACACCACTCATACACCACTACTACACTATTCATACACCACTAATACACTCCTACTACTAATACACTACACCACTAATACAACACTAATACACCACTCATACACTACTACTACTAATACACTACATCACTAATACACCACTACTAACACTACACCACTCATACACCACTAACACACTACTACTAATACACTACGCCACTAATACACCACTCATACACCACTACTAATACACTACTAACACACCACTACTCATAACCCACTAACACACTACTCATACACCACTAATACACCACTAACAACAACACACCACTCATACACTACTAATACACCACTCATACACTAATACACTACTCATACACTACTAATACACTACTACTAACACACCACCACTAATACACCACTAATACACCACTCATACACTAATACACTACTACTAACACACTACACTACTAATACACCACTAACAATACTAATAATACACTACTACTAATCCACTACACTACTAACACACTACTACTAATACACTACACCACTCATACACTACGACTAACACTACACCACTAATACACTACTACTAATACACTACTAACACACCACTACTCATACACCACTACTCATACACCACTAATACACTACTAACACACTTACAACACACTACTAACACATCATTCACAACACACCACTACTGACACTACACTACTAACAACACACTACTAACAACGCACTACACCACTAACACACGACACTACTAACAACACACCACTCATAACAAAACACCAATACTAACACACCACTACTAACACACTACCAACACACTACTACTAACAACACTAACACACTACACTACTAACAACACAAACAACACACTACACTACTAACAACTCTAACACACTACACCACTAACACACTAACAACACACTACTACTAACAACTCTAACACACTACACCACTAACACTAACAACACACTACACTACTAACAACACACTAATAACACACTACACTAACACACTACACTACTAATACACTACTACGAACACGACACATTACAGACGGACACACTGCACACGTTAACACACTACACTACACATTACTAACACATTGTTACACTATACAATTGCACACTGACACATTTACACACAGTTACTTACAAACTACACACACGCACGTTATTGACACACTGCACACGAACACACTACTAAAACACCAACACGTTACTGACATCTTCTTGTTTCTTTCGGTAAAGTCACGTAGAAGGGAAGTAATAAAATAATAAAAATAAAACATAATAAAACAATTCTCACGACGTTTCGGCTACAACGCAAGCAGCCGTCTTCAGGTGAAGAATGAGACACTACCAAACTAGGAGCTTATATATAAGCTGCATTGGGGGTTGAAGAGCGCCTTAACAAAAAGAATGTGCATGTGAAGAGGGATTTAGCATATTCATGGAAAATGCGTAGGCGTTGGGCGGGGGGGTGTCAAAGTCATATTATGCCCATGCATTATGCAGGATCAGCAGCAACCAAGGGGGGTGCAGGGATTAGCAGTAACAAAGGAAAGGAATGTTAATGATATGTAGCTGCAGTTACTCAACAACACCGTAGAAAACTAAAGTATAAACTACATAAAAAACTAAAGTATAAACTGCATCGCACCATCAGTATACTTACTATACTCTATAATAAGCTGAGTTACTAACAGCAAGTAATACATTACAATTTTACCTCGTAAAAATTCTATAATATGCTTCCATCTAAACCTTATTCTCTTACATCACACGAGCATATACCGTACTATATACTGCCATAGATAAACCCAACATTAAATTATATACTGTATTGCTGTAAACCAACCTATATCTTATACATTTAATATCACACTATGTATTATTCTACACACCCTAATGTAATGTATTACTTGCTGTTAGTAACTCAGCTTATTATAGAGTATAGTAAGTATACTGATGGTGCGATGCAGTTTATACTTTAGTTTTTTATGTAGTTTATACTTTAGTTTTCTACGGTGTTGTTGAGTAACTGCAGCTACATATCATTAACATTCCTTTCCTTTGTTACTGCTAATCCCTGCACCCCCCTTGGTTGCTGCTGATCCTGCATAATGCATGGGCATAATATGACTTTGACACCCCCCCGCCCAACGCCTACGCATTTTCCATGAATATGCTAAATCCCTCTTCACATGCACATTCTTTTTGTTAAGGCGCTCTTCAACCCCCAATGCAGCTTATATATAAGCTCCTAGTTTGGTAGTGTCTCATTCTTCACCTGAAGACGGCTGCTTGCGTTGTAGCCGAAACGTCGTGAGAATTGTTTTATTATGTTTTATTTTTATTATTTTATTACTTCCCTTCTACGTGACTTTACCGAAAGAAACAAGTGGCCTTAAATAGACAGAGGGGGGCGGAGGCAGAGAGAGAGAGGGGGTAGGGAAAACATTTACATGTCAATGAGTACGAAGGGAGGGGAGAAACGTTACTGACACATTACACACAATCACACTAACACATTAGTACAGGGACACACGAAGGCATGAATAACACATGCTACTAACACACTAACACATGCTCCTAACACACTTCACGCCGGCACCTATCACCAGACACAATCCCTGCTGATTTCTAGCAATTGCTGCTGCTGTTGTTTTTGTTGTTGTGATTCTGCGTTGGCTACGGTACACAAACAACAACAACAACTCAACAACACACGTGTGTTTCGGGCAATAACCAACTTCACACGCATTTCTTGTGTCGTTGGAAGGAATTTGGTCGGTTGCCTGGAACGTCGTTTATATCCAACGGGTTGATTGATGATCCAGCACTCACGTGCTCAGTCCCAGTCGGTCACCGTCGCTGCTCTTTTGGTTACGATTTGCCGTGAACTTGACCCCCTTGATGCCTGCGGTGTCACCCAGGGGGGCTGACTGCAGGTTCACGACACCAAACTCGCCCACCCACTCAACAAAGACAAAGATCCCCCGTGTAGCCTGGAACAGACTGTAGGGGCAAGTGCTGCTAGCGAGCAGAACCTATGAAGGCCGGCACGGCACACGAGGGGGTGAGTGGGCCAGCACCACGCCCGACCGCCTTTGTCTCTCTCGTAGCGATGTTTACACACAGCAACATGTTCTCATTTGAGGCTGAGTCGACCTTGGGGAGGCCCAGGACCGGTTCAGATAATCGTCACTGGTGTTGGCCGTGAGCGGGAATTGAACCCGGGTCACCGGGTTCGTAGTGGAGCGCGCTAACCACTGCACCACCGCTCCCCACTCGCCACACTGACTCTCACCGCTCTCTTCCCGTGTGAAGATCGACTTCGGAATTCCCCCTTGGTCCTTCACGGAATCAAGAATCGTTATTTATCCTGGAGGAATCCGATGAGCTATGAAGCTCTTTTCACAGATGTCGAGTAGGGGCGGTTCAGAAAGTTGATGGTGCCGGTGCTCGGCAAACGTGGTTAGTAAATAAATATATTCATGATAAAGTTTTTGTTTTTGGTTAGAACGCGTAACCCACAAAATCTTTATCATGCATAATATTGGTCGTGAAGGCATACGTGTTGAACCAAATTATTAATCGCAGACCATCGATTCAATGGAAATTATAAACTCCTATTATCCGTGTGACCTTTCCTCCCGCTCACAGCGAACTTCTGTGTGTAGTTAGCAAGGAGTGATCGCAAAGGTGGCAGTAGCCGGCAGGCGTTACATTTATGATGATGGTGTTGGTGGTAATTATTGTTTGCGATGGTGGTGGTAATGATTGTGAAGGTACTTCCATTATGAGGGCAAATCCCAACACGTTCATCAAATAACACTGTGGCTTTAAAGGTAAAACAAATATATAATCGGCAACGTTTCCAGCAATGGCCCTTCTTCATGGCACATGAGCTTAAGGCAGTGTTCTTGAATAACTTTTTGTTATTTGTGCTTTTACACCACTGGACGCAGGACGAGTAATAACAGTGATGGATTGCTGATGCGAGACATCTTTTGATTTCCCACATTGTAAAATGCAATTGTGTGCTTTACTATACTCTATTTTTCTCTTAGTTATTTGAACCTATTTAAAGCTGCGTTATGTTTGTACGTTTATTATGTGTTTTTTTCGTGTGCACATTCCTCTGAACTAAAGTGTTTTGAATGTTGCCCGTCGTCTTGTGTGTAAAGAGTCTTTTATTTTATCCGTAGTGTTTAAATTACCGGAAGAAAACAATCTTGAGATTAAGTTTGGCTCCCTGCTTAACTCTGTTGTGAAGACTGACACTCCAAGTTTGCTGGGAGTGTCGTCATTCAGCCATCCCCGTGGCTTGCCAACATCATCTTATACGTTGTGTTGTCATCTGTCCGTGTGATAGCATCAAGTGCACGCAAGGTGTGGCTGATGTGACCTGGCCAACGACCCCAATCATTGACGACCCTGTAGTCATTTGGTTCGATAACCCCTGCCTTCCAACATGTGCTCGGAAGTCACACAACACCAAGGGACATCGCTCTGTTGCCGCACGACACTTGACTCGGCTTTTTGGGAATGCTTCTGATGAACATCAGGGATTAATGATCGGCTTGAACAGCAACACTTGGACCAAAATTGGTGTTCTTCTGCATCGCTTGATAATCTACCCACGTGGAAAACAAGGGTAAAGGTGCAGCCGTGACATCTCTTGCTCAAACCACTGCTGGCGGAAGGGCCTCAGCGAGAGGAAACTGGAGTGGTTTTTGTCCAACTCTTCCACGCTTGCAAGACACACGGGAGAAAGTGGGAGTACGTGTTCTGCACTTGACAATAACGTTTAAAAAGCACCAATAACCGAGTGAGTCCTCCGTCGCCCACAGCGCCACAAAACCACGTTTGGTGCCGACTGCCCCGGGAACAGCGGCCATGTCGGGCGAAGTGGAGCGCGCGGCGTTCCTGCGCTGGGAGGTGGTGGACACGGCGCGGGCCGGCGTGCTGCTCGATGAGCCACTTCCACCGGCGCGCTTCGCTGGGTCTCGGCAAGAGAGGCGGATGAGCTCCAGTCCCGCTCACCCCGATGGCCCCGAGATTTTTCAACCCCTGCGACCGATGCTCGTGGGCAGCCTCGACTCGACAGCGCAGGTGTACGGGGATATGTCGCAACAGGTGAGTGTGTTCCTGTGGTGGCGCACACCTGTTGATCACTGTGACTGTAAGGGTGGGTTAGCCGAGCGGTGGTAGCTACTCACGTGGTATGTAATTAAAGTGCACCTGGCAGAGGTGCCGAGGTGACGTCACCGTCACCTAGTGGCGAATGGCGGGTATTGGTATTGGTCTGTAATCGAGCACTGTTGAGGCAGCGCGGGTTTGGTGGTTCGCACAAATGTCGTAAAACTCCCTTCCCGTGGGCCTTGAGGAGGTGCCATACCCTGGCACGCCAGGAGAATGCGGTGCAGCAAAAATGTGGACTCCAACTGTTCCCTCTGTATGGGATGGAGTGTTTCCCATTCGCATGCGTGCCTTTTCTCTGGCTGCTCCGGTTTCCTCCCACATGTAAACACTTATTAATTGCCCTATAACACCTTATTATATAGAGGAGCACAGAGCTTGGGCAGTTGTTGGCGCAGGCCCATTTTGTGGCTGCCTTCCTGCTTGTTTGTGGTTCCTCCATGCACCTCTGAGTTGTTCTCCGTCTATGAGAGTAAATACTCTTGAGGCACGTCACAACATGGCATCATTATTATTTTTAATAGTGGCTTGGACAGGGAGGAGGGCCCCGGGAGTGGTGTGTGTGTACCTCGTTGCCGGGCAGTTACTTGGTGTGTTTTGTAAGATTCTGCTTCGTCTATAGCTCTGTTTCAATCTAAGTGTAGGTTCATTGTTGTTATTGCGATAAGTCAGAAAATATCTAGTCTGTGCTCTGGTTGAACTTATTTTGCACCGTACGTAAACAAGGGGTGAAAAGTGGGCTCTACCTATGCCCAACGCTGGACCAACTGGCTCAAAAACTCAGTAATCAAACAAAGCACCTCTACTCATGAGTTTGGCATGATACCAAATCCACTACCTCTCCATTTTATCAAGACATAGACTGCAGAGTTGCACCCAACCTGGGCTCCACTTCCAGGCTTGCGGCTGCAGCATAAGCAGTCACTGGGTATATGGATATATACATACAGAGACCAATACTGCTATTATATTCAATGTTATTTAATCTCCCAAATTCTAACCCCATCCCTCTGATCCTTGTGAGATGCACCACATCAATGCTTTTGTCGTTTTTAAAGTGACGATTAAGGGGTCTCTGGGTTCGGAGTGTGGGACCCTGGGTGAAGTACAAACTAGAAACCTCAAGACAGATGAGCTCTATGCAGGCCAATTGCACCAACAGCAGGGCAGTGGGACCCCAGTGCAAGCCGTTTTTTGCTACATTGCATGCAATTAGTAGTTCTGCTAAGAGGCAAGCTCACAATACTGAGGTGGAAATCAACACGTGTGTTGTACCTTTGCGTGCAGGATGAAGGTTACCCGCGGCCCGCCTGCCTGGCGGCAGACGAGCGTGTCGCGGCGGGAAAGGACCCACGACAGATGCAGCTGCTGCCACCGTTCTCACCGGGCATGCTGGGAACTACGCACTTTGACCCCGTCGCTCTCAGCTCTACCGGTCGAGGGACCGTGCTGGAGCAGCAGTTGCTGCAGGTGCACTGAGACATTTTACCCCTGACCCACGTACCGTTTACTTACATTGCACCATCAACTTGCTGTTGATTAGCTGTCAAAATGCAAATTTGCTCACGTGGCTAATTATCTCAGTGGTGCGTGTATAGTGCTTGTGTCGGCACCGAGCCAGGGTCCAATCCACAAAACCACTTGCGATTGAACCAGGTGACAGGAATACCTTGCACTTTCGTCTGGTTAGGGACCAGAGCATGGACGAATGTCAAAGATGCACGAATGTCAAAGCAGAGCCTTTATTTAGCTGGCAAATTTATTTTGGCCAACGAAAAACGTGCATGCAAATAACTACAGTGAATATAATCACAAAAATAAGCACAGTATGAATATTATACTGTTATCACGAAAATAACTATGAACTGTTAACAGTATAATCACAGAAATAAGTACAGTATTAATAATATATGAATAAACACAAATATAAGAGATGCTCACTGAACGACTCCTATTCAAAGTCTGAACGAAAAAGACGGCGCGTGGCACGAACGGCGTGGAAGGTTTGGGGATGAAATCGGACGAGAGGAAAGACGCGTGGACGAAATTTGAAATGTGGTGATAATTGAAAACGGCCGAAAGAGCGAAGCGACGAAAGTCAAGTGGACGAAAGTCAAAAGTATCGCTGTACTAACATGCAGACGTAACGGTCACACCCTAGGCGCACCAATGATGGCAGAAATCACTTCCCTTCCACCTAATCTGACCTAGTCGGCATCAGCGGGATGACATTTTTTATTTTATGTTAAGTCATGGATTTTTTTGTTTCAAGTTTCATTTATTAGGTATAGCCCTGTGAGCCATTTGGCTCTTGAATCGGGTGCAACCGCAACAAACAAAAAACTAAAAACATGAACAAGAAAACATCTTAAAGTGACTATGTGCAAACAGAAAATCCAAGAAAAGACAGCAAAATATTGCAGAAAAAGCACCGTACACCAACACTGTGTGCAAAAATCCCAGTGGGATGCAAGTCAAACAACAACAACCACAAGACAACTTAGATTAAGGCCATCAGTCTAACTGATGGCCTTGAACGACTCAACATAGCAATTGGGAAATTGCATAGGTTAACTGCTGTACCGTGTGCTCATACAGCTGCAGGCTTGGCAGGCTCACCAGCAGCAGCAGATGCAGCGGCTACAGCAGGAGAAGATGTCTGTCCTCAACTTGGTTTCTGGACCGTGGCTCCACAGAGGTAAACATAAATACAATCTTCCCCCCACTGCTACCGACCGTTATCCCTACCATTACAGGGTAGTTGAACCTGGGTAACTTTAATCGGCCCCCATTCGGGGGAGAATTAGAGGTTGTGGTTCGAATTCGGAGTTCGTGGCTGGACCGAGGATGTTGTGCACATGCAGAATGTATCCACTCTGACGCCTCTTCTTTGGGTTCAAAATTAATAATACGAAAAAAGTCTTCATCTCTTAAAACCTCTAGCATTTTTCGCGTGTGCAGTCCCTGTGTAAACAGGTGGCCCCATGGCCAAATGAATGTAGCAAAGTGCTCATCTCTGTTGGAGATCCTGGGATCTTACCTTTCCTATACTTTGCACTCAATCGTGATGATGGGTACAAAGTGAGTAATCATTGGAAAGATGTTATTAACTATACAAAAAAAAAAGATTTAACTACACATATTTGGACCATCTTATTTGACAGGTACTATTCTACTTTACCGAGTGTTGACATCCCCAGCGTTTAACAGTACTCTCCTTTATGTATTTGGATTGTCAACCAACACCGGGTACAACAACATGTGCACCTATTGTTCTCTTTTAGCCCCGCCCACCCTCCCAACACGTTCCATTCATTGGCTACCACATTCAGATAAGCCCCTCCTCCCCCCTTAACTTGTATTTAAGAGCTTGTCTCTTGGAATTTTGCCTCACTTGAGACAGTAAATCTAGCTGTGACGGTCCGACCTGATGACGGAAACTTGTGTTGCCTCCGAAACGTCGTGATTTATTATTTTATTTCTATTATTAATTATATTATTGTAATTTGTATTATTTATTTTTTCCTACGTGACTTTACCGATAAAACCTAAGAGTATGAATCCTTGCAGTCACGAAAGCTTCGAATCTAGAACTCCTATCGTGTTTTTGTATTGTTGTAACTTTCTAACCCGCCCCTACTGTAAAAAAAAAGAGCTTTATAGCTCATCAGATTCCTCCACTATAAATAGAGATTCTGATTAAGTAATTCTCTTTTTTTGGGTGGGTGGTCAGGTGGTGTGACTAATGCACTTAAAGACGACAACCACTCTTGTCGTTCTTTGACCAAATAGTGCGGCCTCCCTCAGCTGTGCTCATTTTATCAGAAAGGACGGCGATAACTTTAGACCCTTAGCTGAACTTCGGGTTCGAGAATCACATTTGCGAGCCTTGCTGCTCTCACAAATCTTCTTTGGTATGGATTAATATCAGCTTAGAGATGTAATTTTAGATTTGTTATCCACTCAAACGTCTGTTCAGACGCAGAGTGGATCTCGTCCGTTCCTCCTTTCAAGGAGTGAAGGCGGCAGCAGTGGTGGGGTGTTTACGATGCAGTCGATTGTTTGGGATTCTTGGCCGCACTACTCGCAGGCCGCCGAATCTTCGACGCGCCATTTGTGCATCGAGTGGTCACATCGGCCATGCCCGGTCCTGATTGGGTTGATGGTCGACCGTTGTCGCCGTGGAAAGTTTAAACCGGGAGGTTCGACTTTAGGGTCCTGTATGAGATGTTTATTTTTGACGTTGGCCACAGTCCAGACTTGCTTTTTTTATATTTGTTGTGCTGCCAAAAGCACCAATAGACTTCACATCAGCAGGCATCACCTCTTCAGGGCAGTTTCAAAGGAGTCACTGTTTCACTTCCCACTACAACCGTACAGTAATTTCTGTTTTATCGTGCGTGTCGCTTTAAAGTGTACCTTCGAGATTCAGCTTTCTGTATTTCGATAACAACACAGGAGCTGGCAAGAAGCTATCACAGCCTCCACCAATGGAACACTTTGGGAGCATGGGGAGGCCCGAGCAGCCTGATGTTCATGCGAAGGCCCATAAACCCAGCTCTCCTGGTGAAGGTGAGTTGCAGGATGCTGGGCTCCTGTCGCAGCCGACTATAAAACAATTAAATTCTCACGACGTTTCGACTGCTTGTGTTGCAGTCGAAACGTCGTGAGAATTTTATTGTTTTATATTTTTATTATTTTATTGTTTCCCACTTTACCGAAAGAACCAAGAATATGAATCCCTGCAGTCACGAAAGCTTTAAATCAAAACCTAAAGCCTTTTATCAGAACACTGCCGCACGCTAATTAAACTGCACATGGTAGAATACGGTGTTCTAAAGTGAGACAAATAATGTATCGTCTGATCAATAGCTTGCATTATAAGTTGGCCCTTTTTTTGTTGCTCGTTATTTACTCTGCGTCGAAAGTAAACATATGCACGAAAAAATGAAAGTGACGGCGCCGATGACGTTTTCATTTTTTTTTTATTTCCCCGCCTCCATGTGGCTCAGGTGAAAGCGTACCAGACGACGAAAGCATCTCTCTCGAGCGCTCCAGGTACTCCCCGCGCGGCGCGTCGAGCCCCGAGCAATGGCCGAGCGAGCAGAGCGAATTGGAGGACCACCGACAACGTTCGCCGCTTCCCGTCCACCCGGAGGACAGGTACGACCGGGCCTCTTGCGTTTCTGCGCGTTTCTTCGCTCGCTTGTCTCCATCTCCGTGGCCGCGTGCGTATTCCTGAGCGAATCCGCTCAACGAGATCGCGGACGGCAGGTCTGGAAATTGCTCGGCGAATATTTTATTTTGTTATAGCCGGATATTTCTCGGTGTAGACATGCGATGCAGCACCCGTTGCCTTACGAGAGCCTCGCTCGCGTGGTTTGAGAGTCTTCCCTGCCTTGGTCGTCCGCAGCGGTAGTTGCTTGATCCTCGCGGAGTTTGTTGTCGTCTAACCGATGTGGCAGAGCGGTGGAAGAGCCGCGTGGTCAGAACGCGAAAATACATGGGGGATCCCTTAAGATTATTAACATGAGAATTAGGCTGATGGTCTAGCGGTGTTTTTCGTGGAGCTTGTGAGGTTTTTTCGCAACAAATTTGTCTTTGTGCATTTTCATCTATAGACCCATCACACCTGGCATTCAAGGTGCTCGGAGATTTGAGCAACTCCTGGAGGAGCAGATGAAGGCTGAGGAGGAGAGACTAAGAGGATGTGAGGTGTGTAATGCTTCCCGTGTCTCTAACGTAACACTTGTTTCTGTTGGTGTAGTTTTGCAATGCAATACAATTTTGATTTATAAAGCATCTACACGTAACCGTAGCTCAAGATGTGCAGAAGCTGTTGCATCAGTGCACAGAAACGTTATTCCGACAATTTTACTGTCATTACTTTATTTCCACTTAGAAGCCTTTTGCAGGTGCTGGAGGAGATACTGGAGGTGGCGATGGTGGCGGTCGTGCACGGAAACCATTTTTGAAACGTGGTCAAGGCATCGCTCGCTTTGATAGAGGAAAAGAAGTCCCGGCTAGAATGTCCAAGGGCGTTGGTGAGGATGGCAGTTCGATCGTCACTGCAAAAACGCAACGCGGTGCTGCCCAAGAGATGTCGTTAAAGAGCACAGCGCCGGTGCAGAAGGCGAGAGGGAGTCATCCGCAGGTCCAGAAACCGGATCGCCAAATGCACGCGAGCAGGGGAAACGAGAAGCTAAAGCCATCCGTCGGGTCCAAATTGGTGTCCGGTGGAGCAGAACGGTCGTACGCAAGTACCCGTCCACCCGCCGAGATCTCCAGCGCACGGTCAGCGAGCAGGGCCAGTGAGGTGGCGACGCAGGCTGCGAGGAATGCGCAGAGTAGCGCACAACCCCGTAAAATGGTCACATTTGACCTGCCCGATGACCCGCCCTCCGCTAAAATGTCTGGCTCGCAGCTCAGAGAAGAGAACCTGCGAATGCCACCTGCGATCAAGGAGTCGTATCCACAGACACAGAATGAAACGAGGCAGGATGTTGAAATTGATCGAGCGCAACTCGCCGCACAAACGCCGAGCCAGCGGCACGAGGGTCTGTGCATGGGGGCCCAGTTGCCCGTGTCGTGCGTGGCCGAGTCTTCCTTTGAGACGTCCTTTCAGCGCAAGATGGAACGCTGGGACTCTGAGCGAGCCGTGGACGATCACGAACTGCAGGAGTTTGAGCTGCTGGAGCAAGCGGCGCAGGACCTCTCGTTTGCAAGCAACGCCTCGTTGACCACGACGAGGGCGCCGCCACCGCAGATGCTGCCGCCTCCGATGAACCTGGACAACTGGGGAAACTGGCGTCGGCTGTCGTCGACGCCAATCAAGGAGTCGGAGAGGGCCGTCACGCCGGAGAGTGAAGGAGCAAGCGAGGTACCCGGTGCTCAGGCCCCAAAACATGCTACGGCTTTAAAGTCCGTTTGGCAGCAGCCCACGGAGATTGGCGGTGACAGGGGCGGTGAGGTCAGAGGAGTCGATGGAGGCGACGGACAGTGCGACGATGAACGTGGTGGTGGAGGCGGCGTGGCGGAGGCCCTGGGGGCCACGAATTGTTTGCCGTCTCGCCCGGGAGTTGTTGAAGATGCGGAACTGATGAGCGATGACAGCTCCGATGCTTCTGAAGTCTCTAGCTTTTTAAGCGGCGTCGAGGAGTGTGACGATCTAGACGACAATGACGATGGCGACTGTGAAAAGCCACCGACCCCTTGCAAGGATCCTGATGGTTTTGAAGATGAGCACACGTGGAACGACGACAATGATGTTGTTGATGAAGACGAAAGGACTCTGGTGGAGGAGAACCACATGGCGGAGGATAGAAATCACGCACGCCTGGAGGGCTCGGAGCAACGAGCGGTCACGCGTAAGGTGGCACAGTGTAGGACAGTAGACAGGACAGACTTGGGCGACTTTCACAATGGGAAGGTGTCTCCTAATGAACCGCCAACATCTGGACTCGTGGCAAAACTTTTCCCGGCACTTAAACCGCCCAAGAAAGACGTCGGTAAGTGTTTAAAAAATGGTTTCAAAAATATTAAATGGGGTAATGTTTGGTTTCGCCACTCATTTCACTGCTCCAGCAGAGATATTGTTTTCATCAACCTTTGGTACAGAGTTTCTTTAAGGAATGGGACAGATTGATCCAAGTCATATTTTTTAGGATCCTCTAGGTTAGATCCAAACCTTCAGATGATTATAGCCACGAAGCTGACAGGGGCGGCATCGCTGGTGCTGTGCACAAGCAGCATGCGAGGTGGTGTGCGAGCGTTTGGGTTTATTTGTTTACATGCCCGAATAGAAACCCCTCTCATCATCATGGTGAACATGCACTAGAGGTAGGCATTGTCTGAAAGTGGTTGCTAAAGGCACTATGGTCTCTGGTTTTTGCACGCCTAGTATCGCACAGATATAATAGGCCTATGGTAAGCCAATGGCATATACCACAGACTATTGGTATCATGGGTAATTGTGTCATTATTATGAGTAGACATAGCATCCACCACAAGCTATTGATATAATGGGTAATTGTGTAATTATTATGAGTGGTTATAACATCCACCACAAGCTATTGGTATCATGGGAAGTTGTGTAATTATTATGAGTAGACCTAGCATCCACCACAAGCTATTGATATAATGGGTAATTGTGTTATGAGTGGTTATAACATCCACCACAAGCTATTGGTATAATGGGTAATTCTGTAATTATTATGAGTGGTTATAACATCCACCACAAGCTATTGGTATAATGGGTCATTGTGTCATTATTATGAGTAGACATAGCATTCACCTCAAGCTATTGATATAATGGGTAGTTGTGTAATTATTATGAGTGGTTATAACATCCACCACAAGCTATTGATATAATGGGTAATTATGTAATTATTATGAGTGGTTATAACATCCACCACAAGCTATTGATATAATGGGTAATTGTGTCATTATTACGAGTGGACATGTCCTTTTGTGGGCATGTGGCGAGCACTAACACTGGGAAAGCGATGTCTTGCCAGCCACCAACCACAAGCTCCGTTATAGCTTCTCATGCCAGCTCAGACGTGACTCGAATTAACAGGATCTGTGGAGTCAACTCAGGCACCACGGTGGCTGCTGTCAAAAGTCGCTGAGCAGACCGTGTTCTCCGCAGCTTAGAAAATCACGATTGAGTGCCAGTTAAATTTCCAAAATGTCGAAATTTGTAGATTTTTGCTGGATCGCCAGCAAAATCCAAAAATAGGAGAAATAGGAGGGCTTTTAGAACGTGCAGACGTTTTAATAACCCTGAAAGGCGATCGTGCTAGTTCCTCGACTTAAATGACGTAGAGTTGTGATTTGTGCGCAAGGTTTAAACCGGTGTCGAGAATTTTACTTCGGTGCAGGTTTTTCAGATTGGTTTTCAGTTCATACAAAATCTGTATTCACTTGGCAAATCTGAAAGCATTATTTTACCATCTTCATGTGAACACGTTATTCTTCACTGATGATCAGTGTGAGAGAAAATGTAACCTTCATATAATTTAGCCCATTACCATTTGGAGCCTGTGACAAATGGGACGCTCCTGTTCAAGCATTTCAAATTTAATTGCACCCAGAACCTTGTATTGCCGAATGAATAAGTAGACAATATACCTACTTCCCATATCTCTCCGCATAAAAAAAGTTTGTTTTTCCACGTCCTATCAGCCACATGGCCTTCTAGCAGTGCATAATTTCAGCAGCATTGGTTGCATTACAGCCGAATAATGCTTCCAAGTAGCCCGAGTCAACACGCAAAATGCACACACAATATGGCAAAGAGTTGCAGTGATTCTCACTTGAGATGCTGAAAAACCACCATCCTTGTCCACGTACAATAAAACTTCTCATCTGTTCGTCTGATTATCGTCATTGGACATTTGTGAAATTTGTAGTGTTATTCATACAAATTGCATTTCACAATTTCTGAGAAACCACAGACAAGCTAGAATGCTGCCAGGGGGTGAGCCAGCACCAACAGTTGCTCTGCAGTTCTCTATATATTAAGATGTTTTCGGCCGATTAGTGAGTGCTTTTACGGTAATGCCCCAGTTTACGTCAGGGATGCATTCCTAAAAGGTGCGACGACGAACATCGAAACAAAGTCAATCAATGAGATTTACGGGGTAGGTGGTGGTGGAGGCGAAGGCTGAGAGGCGACGGATAACGAGAAAGGACGGACGATGCTGTGTCAGCGACATAAGTGTTGACTGAGGCGACGCAATTCAGGTGGCGGTATTCATAAAGCGACGACGTATTTGCAAAACGATGTCAAAGCGGGAGACGTAATATGGGTGTTACCGCACACGGAGCGCTCGCGTTGGCATACGCGTTCCCGCGAATGCGTCGTACGTTAACCCGCCTCTGTGGGGTGCAGCTGTTGCCCCTGCGGCGGACGTGGGGCAGTCGCGGCTGCTGCAGGAGCGACTGGCCGAGCTGGAGACGGAGATCGCACGCTTCCGCACCGAGAACGCCGCCCTCGCCCGCCTGCGCGCCGAGCACGAGGCCTCGCTGGAAACCCTACGGTGCTCGCCCATAAACTTCTCTCTCGAGCTAGATGGGGGCGCCGCCGTGGCGAGATGTTAACTACCTCGCCTGGTGTGCAGGAGGTCGTGGGTTTGATCCCGACCCTGGCGCCTGGAGTTTACGTGACTCTCTCCCTGTGGTAGCGGGGATTTTTTCTCCGGGTCCCTGCACATTTTAGAAACATGCTATACATTTCCACATGATAAGCTACTTTGTTGAGCTATTATTTGTGGCCAAGTTGCTTCTGAAAGAGAGCTATGTAGCTGAGTGGGCCTTACCTGGTAAAATAAATACATCGTTTTCAATATAATATATAGATCCCGCGATTCATTCTCTCACACTAGCTCCTCGATTTAGAAAAAATCCTTTCCGATTTACTTTTCTTGCTCTATGGCAACCGCTACCCGTGCAGCCCAAGCCACCTTGACACCACCTAAACCAGCCGCGTTTATCCCACAGCAAGGAGAGGGAGGCGTTCGAGAGGCACAGGGCGGAGGGGGTGGCCCAGCTCGAGGCTGAGCGGCTGGAGGGGCAGCAGCGGCTGCAGCGTGAGCGGCGCGTCTTCCAGAAGCACGCGGCGGCCGCCCGGGCCATCCCCGACAAACAGCAGCGCAACGAGGCACAGGTGTCGTGCATCCTGCTTCCCATATACACGCTACCACCTACGCACACGTTAACCACACTACCACATACACACACGCTACCACATACACACACGCGCTACCACACTACCACATACACACACGCGCTACCACACTACCACATACACACACGCGCTACCACACTACCACATACACACACGCGCTACCACACTACCACATACACACACGTTAACCACACTACCACCTACACACACGTTAACCACACTACCACCTACACACACGTTAACCATGCTACCACCTACACACACGTTAACTACGCTACCACCTACACACACGTTAACCACGCTACCACCTACACACACGTTAACCATGCTACCACCAACACACACGTTAACCACGCTACCACATACACACACGTTAACCACGCTACCACATACACACACGTTAACCACGCTACCACCTACACACACGTTAACCACGCTACCACATACACACACGCTAACCACGCTACCACATACACACACGTTAACCACGCTACCACATACACACACGTTAACCACGCTACCACCTACACACACGTTAACCACGCTACCACATACACACACGTTAACCACGCTACCACCTACACACACGTTAACCACGCTACCACATACACACACGTTAACCACGCTACCACATACACACACGTTAACCACGCTACTACATACACACACGTTAACCACGCTACCACATACACACACGTTAACCACGCTACCACCTACACACACGTTAACCACACTACCACCTACACACACGTTAACCACGCTACCACCTACACACACGTTAACCACACTACCACATACACACACGTTAACCACACTACCACATACACACACGTTAACCACACTACCACATACACACACGTTAACCACGCTACCACCTACACACACGCTAACCACACTACCACCTACACACACGTTAACCACGCTACCACCTACACACACGTTAACCACACTACCACCTACACACACGTTAACCACGCTACCACATACACACACGTTAACCATGCTATCACCTATACACACGTTAACCACACTACCACCTACACACACGTTAACCACGCTATCACCTACACACACGTTAACCATACTACCACCTACACACGTTAACCACGCTATCACCTATACACACGTTAACCACACTACCACATACACACACGTTAACCACACTACCACATACACACACGTTAACCACACTACCACATACACACACGCTAACCACACTACCACCTACACACACGCGCTACCACACTACCACATACACACACGCTACCACATACACGCACGCTAACCACACTACCACCTACACACACGTTAACCACACTACCACATACACACACGCTAACCACACTACCACATACACACACGTGCTACCATACTACCATATACACACACGCGCTACCGCGTTACTACTCTCACCCATACACACACGTTAACCACGCTACCACATACACACACGTTAACCATGCTATCACCTATACACACGTTAACCACACTACCACCTACACACACGTTAACCACGCTATCACCTACACACACGTTAACCATACTACCACCTACACACGTTAACCACGCTATCACCTATACACACGTTAACCACACTACCACATACACACACGTTAACCACACTACCACATACACACACGTTAACCACACTACCACATACACACACGCTAACCACACTACCACCTACACACACGCGCTACCACACTACCACATACACACACGCTACCACATACACGCACGCTAACCACACTACCACCTACACACACGTTAACCACACTACCACATACACACACGCTAACCACACTACCACATACACACACGTGCTACCATACTACCATATACACACACGCGCTACCGCGTTACTACTCTCACCCATACACACACGTTAACCACAACAACCACACTAAGTGGCGTTGACGTCACCACGACGCTTGTGCCAGGCCATGTGCACCTTGAGGCCACGTGAAGTGTCAAACGCCCGCTGGCAGGAGGTCACAGGGCAGACCCAGGTGCCACTGGTCGACTGACTGAGATGACCGAGATGACTGGCTGATGCACCACCTGTGCCCCCTACTGTGCCAACTTGCTGTGCTTTAGCCACCCGGTGCTCCGCTCGTTGTTGTGAGCGTCGCTCCTCCGCCCTCGGTTGTTGTTGGAGGGCGACTGCCTCCAACTGCCCAGTAGCGTCCTTCACGAGCCTCCTCCACTGGTAGCGCCACGTGAATGCAAACGATTATCTTGATCCTCTCTATTTATCCCTCTGCCGCCGCCGCCCCTCCCTGCTGCCCGCCCAGACCCTGCGCCAGCAGCTGGCCGAGCTGCAGGACGAGCTGCGCCGGCGGGAGGCGCGCTGGGCGGCGGGGCAGGCGCGCTCGCGCGAGCAGCTGCAGGCGGCGGAGCGGCTCAACGCCGAGCTGCGGCGCGAGCTCAGCACCGCCGAGCGCCTGCGTCTGCAGGCCGTACGGCGGCGCGGGGCGGCTGGGCGCAACGGCGGGGCCCCCGCGGGAGGACCCGCGATGGACAGGGAGGCGGTCGCTCTGCAGGCAAGACTAGGACGCGGGACGTTTTGGGCAAGCGGTCAGGATAGAACCAATTTTTGCCAGTGTATAAGGTTGGGTGGTGTCGGCGTTTTAACAAAACCAAGAGCAAATCTTACGTCTAAAATTTGTAAGTATTCCACGGTGTTCTCCGAAGTTTTGGGGAGAACGGAAGGGACAGGCTGAGTGTCTCGGGGAACATTCAGTGGTCTGGCTATAGACACCGAGGTGACACCGCTGAGGTCCTCATTATCGTGATGGAATCAACTTGTTAAGTTTCGAAAATCTGGCAGTCTCAACCTGGTTACAAAAAATACCAAGATCTCAAATTTCTAAGTATTTCAATTGAGATTGCTACTTATTATACCAGTGTCACATATCATCACGGACAAACGACGTTTCGTGATATTCGTTCAACGCTGCCGCTTGTATATCTTGCCAGGTTCTGGGAACCCAGAAGTTGGACGTGGGTCCACAGCTCGCCGCTCATCCTGCGAATGGCGCTCCGACTAAGGTGGCGGCGGGTCACCTTCCTGCAAGTGATGCGGCCAAGGCTGGCGCCCTGAAGCCAAAGTCCTCGTCTCTCAAGTCGCAGGCTCCCAGCCTAGGATCCCAGAAGGGCACGGAAACCAAACTGGGGAGGCCTAGCCAAGCTGCGTCAGCTGGTGAGAGTCAGAGGAGACTTTTGACTTTTAAACAACTTTTATTGCCGCCAGCAGCAACAGCACTGGAGGCGATTTCGATTCGAAATACACAAAGTCACCAGCAAACAAATGAAAATAAACGCTACAAATCCACGCTCTGTGGCGCTACAAGCACCGCGCACAATACAAAAGAAAAGTCACGTGGCTGTGGTGGTCATCGCGCACGCCACGGTGACGAGCGAGCGCTTCATAAGGTGAACATGAGGGTGCCGTGCACGCTGGTACAGAGAGGAGAGAGAGAGGTTACATAGATTTTATTATTTCAGCGTTTTATATTTTCTTTTTGGTTTCAGTATTAAAGCAAAATTAATGAAAGCTGTAAATGGGATACATTTTGCCTTTATGAAAAACAATGGGATGTTGTTTATAAAACATAATGGGACCTCCTTTGCCAGTACCAAAATATACTAATAGGGTTTTTCCCCTTTTTTCTGGAAACAAAACTGACACCTTTTGCAAGGAATCATGCTTACATTAACCACAATACTTGCAGTCAAATGCAAAAAAAAACAATACTCTGATCATTTATGCATTGACAACAATATTCTGATAATTTATGCATTGACAATGCATAAATTATCAGAGTATTGTTTTTTGTTTGCATTTGACTGCAAGTATTGTGGTTAATGTAAGCATGATTCCTTGCAAAAGGTGTCAGTTTTGTTGCCAGAAAAAAGGGGAAAAACCCTATTAGTATAATTATCTGTGTTGTTGGTTAAACAAATACGGTTGTGAATTAACGACTTAAGTGGGTCAGAGCGATTTCCTGCCCAAAGTAACGTTGAGGCGGTGCTCATCCATCTTCTGTTTGTAGTCCTGAGCCAGTGGTGTCAATTCCTCATTCCTATGGCAGCTGCAAGTCCAGCCACTGTTGACTTGTCCCCAACGTGGTGCTGATTCTTTCGACCCCAGCGCTTGGGGAGGAACGATCGGCCGAGGCAACCCCCAACCAAGCTTTGAACTTTGCTGCCTACCAGTTGCAAGCTGCTCCTCTACCATTAACGACATTACAGTCCTAGATTTGAAGCTTTCGTGACTGCAAGGATTCATGCTCTTTGGTTTTTTCGGTGAAGTCACGTAAGTAAAAAAATAAAAATTAAAAAATGAAAACAACTAAATTAAATCACGACGTTTCGGGCTCAACACAAGCGGCCGTCTTCAGGTGGGGACAACGTAGCGAAAGCACAACCGCTTAAGTCTTGAGATCTCACATACCGTGACAACTCGTCAGTCTAACATTCACGTGTTTCAGAATGGGAGCGTTCATGACAACGACACGTATGGGACTGGACTTAAGTGCTCAAGACGTATGTTACAGTTGTTGTCAACACCGATGTCGCTGTCTCTCAGCTTCCAGGACCACGAGGCCGGACTTGAGTTCAACGGGAGCAGCAGCGGCGATGACGGCGGCGGCAGCGGAGGACACCCCACGTACGGCCACCCTGAAAGCCGCCACTCAAGACTCGTCGCATCCCTTCGGCACCTCTCACCACAAACCGGTAAAACCGAGCCCCACACACTCAATCTCAGCACCGCCTTGAAAAAGTCAATCGTCACGGCCGACGATGGCAACGCGGCGCAGCTCACTTCCCTCTGCTTATCCCTCGGCTGTCGAGTGACCTTCAAGGTCTGCTCGTTCAGTCCCGCACCAAATTTGGCATTTGTGGACTTTTCTTCGGTCCCTGACCACTCTCGCGCCGGTCTCGGTAACCTGCCCTCCTCCGTCTTGCACGCGTGTTCCACCCATCACAACCACCTTTTTCTGATTACATCGGCGGTTAAACCCTATTAAAACTGGACGAATTGGCTTTCTGGTATTGGGGGGATGTCCAGAGTACTGCAAATTATTAATTTACATCTCATACCTAACACGATTATTTCACATTTAATGACACCTAACCAAATACTTACTATGCAATTACGCTTGAAAATTACTCCCGGATAGTTTAATCCGGGTACCATCACCATGAAGCAAAGGTGGAAAGCTGAAGTTGACTGCATGTGAAAGGCTGAAGGGGGTTTTCTGACGTAAATAAGGATTTATTTTTATTCTTGGTTCTTTCGGTAATGTCACGTAGAAGGGAAATAATATAAATATATAACAATAAAAATGCTCACGACGTTTCGACTGCAACACAAGCAATCATCATCAGGTGTGAAATCCACAGCTTGGTTGTTGGCTTGTCGGCAATTTGCCGACTCGGTGCTGGTGGCAGAACCTCTAGAGCTACCCAACCACCTGGAGCCCGGATGCATGCTCCACGCCATTTTACATGAAACGATTCCTGGCTGTGTGCGCAAGGAGGGCGGCGGTGACTGCGGCCCGGGTGTGGAGCAGTCTCCCGACTGGGGTGCGAGCTCGCTGGACGGAAGCAGGACCGCGGACGAGGAGGTGCTGGAAGAGGTTACACATCCCGATGGCAAGGTAAGAGACTTATGGCCCATTGCGTTAAACCGTGTAGGTGTCCGCCCGAGGTGCCTGTTGCAATTTGATGTGAGAAGCTGTCTCTGTATGTGGACAAAAAACTGAAATGCGCAACAACAACAAAAATGGCGAGTCAAAAACTTGAAAGGTTCAGCCAATTGGAGGTGCGAGGTCAAACACGGCAAAATTAAAACATGTCGCAGGGAGTCGGTGCTCACTTGTTCACCCCACCTTTAATAAAGTTGGTGGAGTGCTCACACACGCTCCTTTCTGCCCTGGCCTGTACCCTATCACCATTGAAATGAAAAATGTGTGATAGCAAAAAAAGTTCCACCTTGATAACCCTTGTGTTCGATAAATTTCACTTGAAACTGTGGGAGCCGTCACTGCCTTGGAGTCTCATGAAGTGATTTCGCAACCGGAGGCTGTGCCCATAAACGTCACACAGGTCAGAAAACATCACCCCCTTTCCTAGAACCCTGCGATCTGCACTTAACGCACATTTGCCACTTCACTTGATAACACTCGACGCATGTCGCTCCCTGCCCAATATTTACCGGCACTCTCCAACCACTCACCGGCACCCATTTAGCCTCTCACCGGCACCGGTAGATGAATTACAGGGCGCCCGATGCACATGCTGCACAGATATTATTTGCATTAGGTCAAGAAAAATATGCACCCGTTGACCTTTAGAAATATGTGCGAGAGCGGGGGGGAGGTTTCTACGATTGAGTTAAGTTTTTAGTTTGTATCCATAGGGTTTTACCAGCTGTGATGAGGGCGGTCGGTGTCGGCGATAGTCAATTTGAGAAACACGGAGAGGTTGCGGCTGCCGCCGTACAGGGGCATTAGACGTGAGGGTCGCTGCGATAAGACGACACGAGATTATCTGACGACGATGCTGGTAATCTCCAATTTTGCATGTCATCGCAGTGCCGTGATATTCGCTGCATATTATTGACATTTAAAGTTATGCATCGTCCCTTCGCTTTCGCAAGGTCAATTCCCGAGTTAAGAAAAAGAATGTTGGTTTTTGTTGACAAAGCACGACACTTTCAAGTTTATTTAAGTTTTTCCAGGTGAGAACGCTACAGGCCAGGAGAGTCTCATATGCAAGAGTGACATGGGACATTAGTCTTCCGGTAGTGGACGATGATTCCGTTGTATAACAGCATATGAGAAAAATGTGGGTGATTTTTTAAATGTACTATTTTGGACCCATCGTGGCAAAAAGGGAATGACGGTCGATGGATAACATTGGTGATGGAATAGCGCCTGAGAGGATTACCACCATGGAGATGTAACGATGATATGAGCGAGCTCGTTTACGCGAGCGAGATGGATCGTGACATCACGAGACCGTAATGGATGGCAACGACTTGTGGAGGCCTTCATCCAGCAATGGATTGACCGTGTCTGATGATGAATGTACCCACAGTGTGTGCTGGTGAGGGAATGCCACCAATGGGTTGTGCGACAATGTTTTATGTCGCCTTGAAATCCTTTGGTGGCTTGGCACCGTTTAATCTGAGTTTCCATTTTCCACCCGACACGTGGAGGCGAAAAATGTATTAACTGGAATGCAGAAGCGACATTGAACACCCATGCTAGGCCATAACCACGTGCTTCCTATCTACTGGGGGTACTGCTCTCACATTCCATACGCTGGAAAACCCAAGGCCATCGTAAGCAGCCCCACGAGACTGAAACTATAAACCGAGCTTTGCTTTCCCTGCGTGGTCCCCAGGCGCAGTCGTCTGGGGCACGATGGTGGCGAGACGTTAACTCCCTCGCCTGGTATACAGGAGGTCGTGGGTGCCATCCCAACCCTGACGATGCCTGTAAATTTGGAGTTTGCATGTTTTCCCCGTGGTCGCGTGGATTGTTCTCCGGGTCCTCCGGTTTTTCCTTCCACATTTCGAATCAACGTGCGTTTAGATTATTTGGCTGCTATAAATTCTCACGCGATAAGCCACTTCGTTGAGCTATCTGTCGTTGGTGGCTAGGTCGGTTCTGAAATCGAAATCAGAATCTTTATTTATCCTGGAGAAATCCGATGAGCTTTGAAGCTCATTTTCACAGATGTCCAGTGTAAATTATAAACTATTTTAATTTTTTTCGGACGCGACCTGCCCACAATTGATAGCTCAACCTAGTGGCTTATCATCAGGTTTAAATGTATAGCAGCCAAATTCTCTAAACACGTGATGTTGATTCTAAATGTAGAGGATAAACCGGAGGACTCTGAGAAAAAATCCACGTGACCACGGGCAGAGCATGCACACTCCAAATATACAGGCTTCAGGGCCAGGATTGAACCCACGACCTCCTGTATACCAGGCGAGGTGGTTAACATCTCGCCACCGCGGCACCCGGTCCATGTGGGTCTAAAAGTTACAACTCCAGGGACTCCTCTACCTTTGAATGAGTTAGGTTCCAGGGTTCTGTTCGTAAGTCCAACTTTACTCCTGTCGAAGAATGGCTTTAAAAGTTGTATAATCTCCTGTAGATGTTGAGGCCACTTGTTCTTTACATTCTGCAGATGTAGATGCCACTGGTTCTTCACGTTCTGCAGATGTAGATGCTACTGGTTCTTCACGTTCTGTAGATGTAGATGCCACTGGTGCCTCATGTTCTGCAGATGCCACTGGTTCTTCACTTTCTGCAGATGTAGATGCCACTGGTTCTTCACGTTCTGCAGATGTAGATGCCACTGGTTCTTCACGTTCTGCAGATGTAGATGCCACTGGTGCTTCACGTTCTGCAGATGTAGATGCCACTGGTTCTTCACGTTCTGCAGATGTAGATGCCACTGGTTCTTCACGTTCTGCAGATGTAGATGCCACTGGTTCTTCACGTTCTGCAGATGTAGATGCCACCACCGCCATCTATTGCGCGGCGGTTGAACTTACGAATCTCGGTCTGAACAGACAACTGGACATACGGGCAGGTTTGTTCATATTTCTGAAAGTTCATCAGTCGAATGTTTCATAAGTAGAGGAGTCCCTATATATATCTCAGTGGGCCTTACCTGGTTAAATAAAATAGTTTAGTTTTAGAAAGGCAGCGGCGGTGACGGTGGTTGCACGCGTTGCTGTCTGCGCCGCAGGTGGAGGTGGTGTCGCGCGACGGCCGCCGCACGCTGCGCTTCCCCAACGGCACGCGCAGGGAGGTGAGCCCCGGCGGGCGCTCGGTGCTCGTGGCCTTCTTCAACGGAGACGTGAAACGCGTGCTGCCCGACCAGCGCGTGGTGAGCGATCCAACCCCCCCCACCCCCCCTCCCCCCCCCTCCCCCCCCTCGCCTGGTCGCCAGTCGCCACTGGTGCTAAAGTCACAGTACTGCATGCAGAGGCGCGGAGTTCATTCATTCATTACGCGTAGTCAGCAGAGGAAAGTTGCGCCCAAACGCGAGACCTCTTGCGACAAAACTGCTCTTGGCTGCCGTACACTGGCGCCTCGAGTGATTTGTGTGATCCATGGATCACGGGGGGGGGGGGTGGCGGGGAGGGCGACAATGATGTAGGTGGCGCCATTCTTTTGAAGGGTCGCAGTCCACCTCGAACGTCGCCCGCCAACTGAAGTGCGCAATTTGCTGCGGGAGTTTGCGCATCAAGACGTCTCATTTCAACTTGTAACGCGTCGCTGCACGGTCCACGCTCCTCGCTCATCGTCGAGAGAGGAGGAACCACGGACGAGCGGGAAGGCAACCGCGCGATGAGCCGGTGCCAACCATTGCCCGAGTTCTGCGGTCCTCCGTGTGTGAAGGTGTTAACGGCCTATTCATGTTCACATGTGGGAGGAAACGGGAGCAAAGTTTTATCTGTGGGGAGTTTGAGATGTCAGCCCAGTCGTCACCCATGACTGCACAAAGATATCATCACCGCCCTTCCACGCCGCTAGACGTAATTCGGTTAAACGCAACGTGAGCCGGTGTTTTGCGGATGTTTGTTAAAGGGGCCCCGTGTTGCAGAGATATCGGTGGCGGTATCATCGCGTGTGGCATCGTCTCCCCTGGTCCGTCCCTGATGTGATGTCATACGATTCTCTCTTTAGAACAAATTCTTTGGTGATGCTGCTGCTGCTGCATTGGCAGCAGTACACAAGCGCAAAGAACAAAACACTCAACACATGTCTCATGCACACTTTGACTTTAATAGAAAAAATATATGTAATGTGATTTTTCAGGCAATGATTCTTCTTCATAGCATGACAGGGAGGTAGTGGATAATAGTTAAACACGTAGGCTTTCACGACCAATATTATCTATAATAGAGATTTTTTTTGGGTTAGATTTCGTAAATATAAATGTGGTTACAACCAACCTGATGATGCTAGTTGTAATGCCCGGCGAAACGTCGTACTCGAATTGTAAATGTCGTGGGTTTACTCTTCAACACACTGGTGTGCTGAACTAGTAACAGAGTAGCATGTTTTTGTTTACTTGACAAACCTTACTAATTGTGCACTGTTGGGTGTTGGCGGGTTTCACGGCACATTTATATTTAGGCGACCTAACCCCAAAAAAAAACTGTTACGGATAATAATTGTAGTCTGCACTTAACACTGTGGGAATTAATGAAAATTAAAAAATCCTGATGAACTATTTTTTAATTGGCACATGAATACAGTATTGGTAGCTAATCAGCAGCAGACTCACCCTTCATCAATAATAAAACAACTATTTCTACCAAATAAACTCGTTTGTATTAAAATAAAACTTTAACTGGCTGGCACAATGCATTATGGGTGGAACTGCTTGTTTTAACGAGGTTTGTAAAGTCATAATTAGCATAATCCACTGAGTGATGCATTCCTGATTGAAGTTCTCATTTAACTAGGGGTTAGACAAACTCTCTGTAGAAACCAAACCTCCACACCACTCTGAATAACTGTAACGACCAAACCAACCCATTTCGATTCATAACTATTCATGCATAATAACTTTTCCGTCATTTCTGTCGCTTTCCCATAAATTGGCTGCTGCTGCTGCTTTCACCAGAGACCGAGGTGCTGGCTCTGACGCTGCCGTCAAACCCCACGTGACCCCACGTGACCCCAGTGACCCCACGTGACCCCACATGTCCTCACTCTTGAGCACAATCGCAGAACTGTCACGAGCCATATCACCTGCCGTCATGTGGACGTATGCCATATAAATATTAATAATGTTCTACACTTTCCTCTCTAGATTTACTACTACGCAGATGCACAGACCACACAGACCACTTTTCCGGACGGTTTGGAGATTCTACAGTTCCCGGACAATCAGATTGGTGAGTATTAAGTTGCTGATGATGATCCTGATGATATTTTTTTTCGATTTAAAGCTTTTGTGACTGCAGGGATTCATATTCTTGGTTCTTTCGGTAAAGTCACGTAGAAGGGAAATAATAAAATAATAAAAATTAAACAATTCTCACGACGTTTCGGCCACAACGCAAGCAGCCGTCCTCAGGTGAAGTCCGACAGACCTGGTCTTCACCTGAGGACGGCTGCTTGCGTTGTGGCCGAAACGTCGTGAGAATTATTTTATTATGTTTTATTTTTATTATTTTATTATTTCCCTTCTACGTGACTTTACCGAAAGAACCAAGAAGATGGATCCTGATGATATTTCCCTTGAAACAGAATGTTGTCGCTTGGGGTTCCTCACTTGAACTTATAACAGGGAACTACATTTCACCAGTTCTCAAGGTCCCGCTGTCATCTGTCATCGGCTACAGAGCTCTCCTGGTGCAATTGTCTTCATTCCAGTTCGATCTCAGCCTTCTTTTCACCTGGACTCAAGTCTGTTTCTTTCCTCTGATTCCGGCTGCCCCATCCTCAAAACAAACCAACTTGTTATCAAGATCAAGACTCAATCACAGCCAAAGCCATTGATGCCCCCACACCTCCGTTAAACTACTAAAAAATTACCATTTTTATTTTTCTAGGTAAGGCTCACTGAGCTATGTAGCTCTTTTTCAGAAGCGACCTGGCCACAAATGATAGCTTAACAAAGTGGCTTATCACGTGCAAATTTCTAGCAGCCAAATACTCTTAAAGGCATGTTTATAAATGTGGAGGGAAAAACCGGAGGACCCGGAGAAAAATCCACACGAACACGGGGAGAACATGCAAACTCCAACTGTGCAGCAGGCGTCAGGGTCGGGATCGAACTCACAACCTCCTGTATAGCAGGCGAGGTTGTTAACATCTCGCCACCGTGGCGCCCATCGCCAAAGCCGTTGATCCCACCACACCTCATCGCCAACACTCTCAGATTCCTGCAGCTACTGCACAATAGGTTTGCAGTGACCTTGTTACTTCTCCCCATGAACTCCTGCCATCTGTACAACTTAACATCGTGGATCATGGCTCCATCTCGCCAGCCTCCGACTGCCTATTGTAATCTTTTTTTCCCCCATAGCTGTTTTGTTTGAATAAAGTAAGGCAGCCCAACAGACGAAGTATGATGCTCAATCTTTATCCCATTCAAGTTACCGCTGTAAAATCACAAGTCCTTTATTCAAACAGGGGCGTGTTTCGCTCCTGAGACAATTCCTTGCATGAACGTGAATATGAATTACTTGAATGCTCGTGAATATTAATGTTTTTGTGGTCAGAGCTTGACATTAACTGTCGTGTTTGATGGAAAGTCATGACACACACTTTTTTTTTTTGCGATTGTCAACGAAAATAAACCATCTGCTGCGTTTACTTACATATATGATAGCAATAACGCAATTGACCCAGGAAGGCTGTTTTTACAATGCGTTAATATATTTTTAAAAGTTTAACTTGGGAGTGGCTTTTCAGTCAGGAAGCCTTTGTTACTCAACCCATGGCACCTGGGTTGTATGTACAGTATGCATGTTGAACGTCTTTCACACTGCGTAGCCAACCGTGCTAATCGGAGGTGCGATTATGACTCAACACCTGGGCCGGCCGCTTTACCTCCCCGTGTGAGCCTTGACCACGCCACATGGCCTGGCACGTGTGCCATGGTGACCAAACCCCCACTTGAGGTCCCCGCCTAATTCTGCTGCTTGCTGCTGCTGCGGATGCTGCTGCTGTTGCTGCTGCTGCTGTTGCTGCTTCGCCTGCTGCTGTTGCTGCTGCTACTGTTGCTTCTGCTTGCTGCGGATGCTGCTGCTTTTTTCGCTTGCTGTTGCTGCTTTCTGCTGTTACTGCTTTCTGCTGTTGATTTTTGCTGCTGCTTGCTGCTGTTGCTGCTTGGTGCTGTTGCTGCTTGGTGCTGTTGCTGCTTGGTGCTGTTGCTGCTTCGGTTGCTGCCTGTGTACATGCAGAGAAACACTACCCGGACGGAAGCAAGGAGATCGTGTTTCCCGACCAGACCGTGAAGCACCTGCATGTGGACGGGCGCGAGGAGACGATTTGTCCAGATGGCACCGTCATTCACACTCAGCTGTGAGCCAAACCCCCTCACCTCCACATTCACCTACGGTCGCCAGCGTCACTGCCAACACCAAACCAGGGCTGGGCGATCGCCGCGATTGCTGGCCTGCCATTGCGGTTCCGTACTTAGCGTCGAGTACGATTCCTAGCTGGTCATGGAATAAGGAGAATTTTGGTGGGCGCTGGGCTATGTGGAGCCCAGCATGGCATTCGGGCAATGCCAGTAATGTAACATTTCTTTGGAATGTGAGATGCCTTGTAGTTGAAATTAACTAAAACTATTAAACTATTTTTATTTTACCAGGTAAGGCACCACTGAGCTATTCGGCTCTTTTTCAGAAGCGACCTGGTTATCGCAAATGATAGCTCAACAAAGTAACTTATCACGTGGAAATGTATAGCAGCCAAATACTCTGAAGTGCATGTTTCTAGATGTGGAGGGAAAAACTGCAGCACCTGGAAAGATACATTCACGTGACCACACTGAGAACAAGCAAACTCGCGAGTATACAGGCAGTCAGGGTCAGGGATCGAACCCACCACCTCTTGTATACCAGGCGGGATAGTCAACATCTCCTAGTCACCGTGGTGCAAGGTTAACAGCGGCGACGCTGCGTTTGCTGACTTTGCGTTCGTTGTTCTCGCAGCAACGGCGACCGCGAGATCGAGTTTGCGGACGGGCAGCGCGAGGTGCACACGGCGCGCTACAAGCGGCGCGAGTACCCGGACGGCACCGTCAAGACGGTGTTCCCCGACGGACGCCAGGAGACGCGATACGCCTCGGGGCGTCTCCGCCTCAAGGACAGCGCCGGCAACATCGTCTTTGACGGCACCGATGCCCACTAAGCGCCGCCCGATTCGCGCGGTTGGCTACGTACAGCGCGAGGAGAAGTTCAACGTGCGTACGTACATCAGCGCTGGCGCCCTCTGTCCCCTGGCTCAAGTCCCGTCGCGTGAGCTGGGCCGGTGACATGCCGTGGCACGATGAACCAAGTTTTGTGGCGCGCCGTGGCGGTGCCGGTTGGTGCTGCAGTCTGCTCTGTGACACAGTCGCATGCCGTGGAAAGCTCTGGCATGTTTTCGTACGTCATGGTACACTGAACAAGCTGTGGCACACTGAAAATGGTCGTGGTTATAGACACGGTTAAAACGCAATCTGACACATCTCATACAATTACAGTGAAACCTTCTAATGATCTCTTTCAAAATGCTCAATGCATCCACTCAGACACGTGCCAATTCAGATCTCTCATCTCATCCAAGACAGGTCCCAAACCCTTGACACATTTATTCCCACAGCCTTTGTCATATTCCATACAGATCTGAAATTGGATCCTTGTATAAATCAATGGAACAGTCGTTCTGAACTTCCACCCGCATAGCCTGCCTATAGCAGGGCACAGAAGGGCATTGTTTTTTTAAGGCCACCACCACCCGGCAGCGTTCACTCACTCAAACCGATGTAAGAAGAAGAAGAAAAAAAACCCCACTGGCACAGTTATTTTAAAATGTTTTTTATAATAATATTGATGCAATAGATATGCACATTTGTTGTCGTGCCTTTTGTCAAAGAGTCAGCACACGGTGCCTTATCATGTGCCAAGTCGTACGTCACACTTCGCACTTCAGCTCCTCTATTGGGATTGCAAAACTTGGCGGGAGCCTCCCGATAAAGATTCTTGAGACTCGACGAGGCTTTCACGGGTAAACAAAGCTTGACAAAAACTAACGATGATACAATATTCAACCGCGAGCCACGGCTTCCTCATCTCATATAAGCCGTGCTCACTGAAGGAATTACACGTGACTTAAGATCAAAGAAGGGCAATCCTGAATGTGTCATAAAAGATGGCTTCAGAATTTTGGCACTAATTTGGCAGATGATTCCACTGCCGATGTCTGCCGGAGAGGGTGGCAAAGCTACGAAGGAGGTCGGAGTCGGCTGATCCCCGTGCCTGAGATGGGTCAGTAGGGGTTCATGAGTTTCACATAACATTCAGGTCCAAGTCTGTGGGATTGCTTTATCAAGAGTTTGATATGTAGGTATGCATTCCTTCACTGGAAATCGATGCATTTTTTTACAGAACAAGCTGCTTATCAACTTGCATTATTTTATTTACTTTTATCAGTGACTCTTCATTAACGATATGATTACGGCTGAACATGGGTTCATTATAAGCTAACAGATTAGTCGAATGTAGAAATTAGGTCACAGTGCCCCCTGTTTGAAACGAGCATGAGGCAGAGCACGTGTCTGCTGCTGGTCTTGAGCCAATGTTGCCTCTGGAGGATGGCCACTGCGACGATGGGTTAAGCCGGGGGCCGGCAACGAAAACAACGGGAAGAGTCATTTGTTTTGAATTCTGTAAATAAAATAAAAACATTTCAAGAGGAGCTGCAATGCGATGTGAACACGAGACGGTGCTCCTTAATAAATAACGTCACAAAACAGTTCCTTGAGTAGCCGCATGCGGCTTCGGAGCCGTAGGTTGGTGACCCCTACCCATGGTGAACTGGACTTCCATGGTGAACTGGACTTCCATGGTCAGGGGGTCAGCAACCAAAATAACAAGACGAGCCAATTTTTTTTCCCCGAATTTCAAGAGCCGCACTGCAGCCCCTTAAAGAGCCACCGCATGCGGCCCCGGAGACGCAGGTTGCCGACCCCCTGGGTAAAGCTGACCCCCAAATAGAGCTCTCTCATTCTGCCCGATTGTGAGCGGGAGCGCCTGCCACAGCGCCACCTGAGCTGGCAGCTGCGTTGTTATTATCTACGGAAAAATCTGCCTCTGCTCATGTTTGCAATCTTTAGGGCATGCGATCCGGAAGATCGTGCCGATATTTGTTGGCGAGTCAAATCTACAACTGTCGTTTTTTTTTCTTCCCCCAAACATTTTATTGTAATGTTAATACTTACATATGTTCAGCGCTTGCCACTGCTGAGCAGTCAAGCAGAGATGCCTCCTCGGTCGTTAAAATGCCAAAGCTGATGTGTTTTGGACCAATGCGCACGGCTGGTCCAATCTTTGTAGAACTTTGGGATTTTCCCACGCAATGATGGGAGATGAGGCTATTGGCAGGTGTTTACACTGACAGGCAACGTACACTTAGCTCCATCAGATCATCACAAATGGCCAATAACGGAGAGGCAAGACCACGTGCAGTTTCTGGACACGATTGCAAGGCAAACGCACGGTGGATGGAGTCGGAATTAAAGATTTTCCGCACATCCAATTATCACGGTTGGCTATGTACGGTGCTAAAGAAGTTCAACGTACACTATCAGTCATCCGCCCACCCAGCTACAGAGTAATGTTTGACGCGCGACGGCAAAGCTGATCTTTTTAATTCTCAAAGCTGGACTTTAGCAAAATCAAGGGGAAAATCAAATGTGATTTTTTGTTGTTGTGCGGTCATTGGTGATCAGGCTGAGATGAAGCAACTACACTTGAGAAACAGGTTTAATCTCAGTCCACTGCCTGGATTCGAACCCATGCTAGCATGCGTGCCAAGTCAGAACTGATGTCTTAAGTCAATGTAGCGGCCTCAAGTAGCTGCAGATGTCCCGTAACCCCATCACATACAACATGCAGAAATCTAAAAACATTGCTGCTCACGCCATTCAGTGGAATAATAATCGGTGGTACGATTAATTCAGAATCAGAATATTTATACTGGAAGAATCCGATGAGCTTTAAAGCTCTTTAACACAGATGTCCGAACGTTGGGTTGCTCGGTCAATGGCCAGGGTCAACGGCGGCGTGGTGTATTCCGCAAATATGCCCGACTGTGAGGGCGGGCACAAGCCGGCGTGAGTAGGTTAAACGTTGAGTTTTATAAGGGCACCACGGTGTGACCCGCCCCTCCCCACCCAGCCCCACCCCTCCCACCCCCCACCCAGCCCCACCTTCCCCACCCAGCCCCTCCCCACCCAGCCCCTCCCCACCCAGCCCCTCCCTGCACGACGGACGCAATAATCCCCTGTGGGCTGGTGTAACCAGGAGGTTCCTACCAGTATGAAACTAATCCATCCCCATCCTAGCAGACAAAGCCCCCTGAGGCATTAAATAATTTCCAAAAAAGATTTGCCCACAAATGATAGCTCAACAAAGTGGCTGCTCATTTGGACATTTTTATCAGCAAAATAATCTAAATAGTCTAAACCGGAGAGACATGCAAACTCCAAATATACAGCAGGCGTCGGGGTCGGGATCGAACCCCCGACCTCATCGGAGTACATGTCAGGATTTAGTCATTCCAGTACCTATCAGCCCCTGGCTTGGGGAACGCCAACCCGATGCATGTTCGCAACAATTAACCTGCACCTACTCCTTCAGAGCCATTTAGAGGCCCACCTCTTAACAAGGCCGGGTTTTCAGGCGACACAGGCTCTAGAGGTACGGTCATTTCGCGATCAAAATCTTGCATCGGGATCACTGTCACTTGATTCCAATGGAAAAATAACACGATCATTATCTTATTTGGAAATACGACATGATGTAGGCAGTCCCAACGAACCGCAAATCAGATGATGATCCGTATGTCTTTGATATTTTAAGATTGTAAACAGTTGTGTTGCTTATTCCAGCATTCTTCATTAATTTTCAGTGGGGGGGGGGTCACTTTCGCCGATAAGACATCATCAGTGTGAGAGCCGCCACACATTTGAAACCGTTAGGGGTTTGATCGCAGCACGATGATGATGGGGGGGGGGGGGTGTTTTCACCATTTGTGTATTGTCAGGCGCCGCGCGGGCCTTGCGTTGAAGAGCACTGGCTTATTCAGTCGAAATGCGGGTCATGTTGCAAGAGGTGTTACCTACGGCACCTGCAAGCTGTGTGAATGGTTTGCACCCTCGACTTGCAATTCACAGCGCTCCGGGTCTGACTCAACCTCCCAGCGAGGCAGTGGAAACAATGGGGGGCAGATTTCTCTCTTCCCCCCCACCTCACCCTCCACCTCACCCTCCACCTCTCCCTCCACCTCACCCTCCACCTCTCCCTCCACCTTACCCTACACCTTACCCTTCACCTCACCCTCCACCTCACCCTACACCTTACCCTCCACCTCACCCTCCACCTCACCCTCCACCTCTCCCTCCACCTCACCCTCCACCTCACCCTACACCTCACCCTCCACCTCACCCTCCACCTCACCCTCCACCTCACCCCCCACCTCACCCTCCACCTCACCCTACACCTCACCCTCCACCTCACCCTCCACCTCACCCTCCACCTCACCTCACCCTCACCACCCTCACCTCACCCTCCACCTCTCCCTCCACCTCACCCTCCACCTCTCCCTCCACCTCACCCTCCACCTACCCCACCTCACCCTCCACCTCACCCTCCACCTTACCCTTCACCTCACCCTCCACCTCACCCTCACTTACCTCCACCTCACCCCACCTCACCTCCACCTCACCCTCCACCTCTCCCTCCACCTCACCCTCCACCTCACCCTACACCTCACCTCCACCTCACCCTCCACCTCACCCTCCACCTCACCCTCCACCTCACCCCACTCTCCTACCCTACCTCACCCTCCACCTCACCCTCCACCTCACCCTCCACCTCACCCTCCACCTCACCCTCCACCTCACCCTACACCTACCCTAAACCTTACCCTCCACCTCACCCTCCACCTCACCCTCCACCTCACCCTCCACCTCACCCTCCACCTCACCCTCCACCTCACCCTCCACCTCACCCTCCACCTCTCCCTCCACCTCACCCTCCACCTCACCCTCCACCTTACCCTACACCTTACCCTACACCTTACCCTCCACCTCACCCTCCACCTCACCCTCCACCTCACCCTCCACCTCACCCTCCACCTCACCCTCCACCTCACCCTCCACCTCACCCTACACCTTACCCTCCACCTCACCCTGCACCTCACCCTCCACCTGACCCTCCACCTTACCCTACACCTCTCCCTCCACCTCACCCTCCACCTCACCCTCCACCTCTCCCTCCACCTCACCCTCCACCTCACCTCACCCTCCACCTTACCCTACACCTTACCCTCCACCTCTCCCTCCACCTCACCCTCCACCTCACCCTCCACCTCTCCCTCCACCTCACCCTCCACCTCACCCTCCACCTCACCCTCCACCTTACCATACACCTTACCCTCCACCTCACCCTCCACCTCACCCTCCACCTGACCCTCCACCTCACCCTACACCTTACCCTACACCTCACCCTCCACCTCACCCTACACCACCTCACCCTGCACCTCACCCTCCACCTGACCCTCCACCTCACCCTCCACCTCACCCTCCACCTTACCCTCCATCTCACCCTCCACCTCTACCTCACCCTCCACCTCTCCCTCCACCTCACCCTCCACCTCACCCTCCACCTCTCCCTCCACCTCGCCCTCCACCTCACCCTCCACCTCACCCTACACCCTCCACTTCACCCTCCACCTCACCCTACACCTCTCCCTCCACCTCACCCTCCACCTCACCCTCCACCTCTCCCTACACCTCACCCTCCACCTCACCCTCCACCTCACCCTCCACCTCACCCTGCACCTCACCCTCCACCTGACCCTCCACCTCACCCTACACCTCACCCTCCACCTCACCCTCCACCTCACCCTGCACCTCACCCTCCACCTGACCCTCCACCTCACCCTGCACCTCTCCCTCCACCTCACCCTCCACCTCACCCTCCACCTCACCCATCACCCGACCACTGCCTCTGACCAACCAGCGGCATAAATGGGTTCGTCGAAGCGACGTCAATCGGCAGGCCGCGTGTGGTGGGGGGTAAACTGTGGGTACACCGACCTCTTCCAACATGTCTGGTCGGCGTGGAAGCGTTAGGCCAATTGTCCAATTGTCCCTCGAGAGCTCCTTCAAGTGGGGAGGCCCGTCTGGCCAGCAGTGGCATGAGGAAGCAGCTGCAGGGCTGCACATGTATCGTACCTACAAGGATTCCACGGCCACTACAGTCAAACATTCGTGATGAAGGCTGATCTGTTTTTTTATACATTTTTTTTTAAGTATGTATGTCCGGTACATACTTATGGGCTTGCGATGTATGTATGCAAGTATGAGCCAGTGAGTTCTGAGAACTGTGTACAATGAATATGCATGGAATTATTATCGAATTTCAATTACAGTTACATTCCTTATGAATGAGGTTTTTTTCTGGTCTGTACTTGGTGATTTCAGATGACATCGGCTAGCGCTTGGTTGACCAGACTAGAGAAAAGCTCGCCGCTGTGAAGTGGAGCTCAGGATTCAGGAATACATTACTCCGTGGGCATTAGGGGGTATCCATGGATTGCCTAATATAAACCCATGGGCTTTGTTTCCACCAAAAGGTTGCTCCATGCCATGTCATATTAAGGCGAATCCAAAAGTATCCACATGACTGATGTATAAATAATTAGTATGGCAAATCATCATTATCATCATCTCTATGATTAATCCATTGCTCTATGAACGCCTCCCAAAGCCACCACCATCTAACAATGTCATAACCAACCCCTAGCACCTGCACGTACAAAATATAAATTCTTCTTGCATGTACATTATAAGCGCATGCACACATCCTTGCGGACACCGTGTAATTACTGATGTGCACGCACACTGTGCACGTACTTGCACCCCGCGCGCTCAATACGTGTAGGACCACCTCGCCAACGTCCTGGGCAACCCGAATGCCACTCCAGCATCTCCTTACTCCACATCCCCAGCCGTCCATTCCATTCTGGTGATTATCAAACCATTGCCCCAGAATCTCGTAAATATCTCTAAATAAGCTCAAGGCTCCGTAAATCAGCTGACGTATGTGGTCACCCCCGCTCTGAATCTCTCCCCCGCCCTGAATGAAAACGGACAGTGCTCACTTCTGCTCCCGCATTTTCTTCTGTGTCCCCTCTCATCGCCTTTTCATCTGCGGTGACGAGATGTTAACTCCTTCGCCTGGTATGCGGGAGGTCGTGAGTTTGATCGCGACCCTGACGCTGGTATATTTGGAGTTTGCACGCTCTTTCCGTGGTCGCATTAATTATTCTCTGGGTCCTCCCAGTTTTTCCCTCCACATTTAGAAATATGCATTTAGAGTATTTGGTTGCTATACATTTCCACGTGATAAGCCACCGAGTTCCGATATCATTTGTGGCCAGGCCGCCTTGCCTGGTAAATAATAGAATAGTTTAGTTTTATCGCACACATCTTGGCCCGGGCATTACTTCTCTCTCTGTCCAGCACGTCTTTCTTCCTGCTGCTAAATCTTCATTTAGCCCTTGCTCTCTCGCCTTGTGGATTTTTGTCTTGGTATCCTTTCCCATTCCTTTCTCTCTTCCCATACGTTGCATCTCTTGACTCTACGCCTCTTACCATGACGTGCGACAGTGTTTTTTTTTATCCTAATCAAAACGAATTCTTCCCGTGCAGTATATATCTTGACTCTACTCCTCTTACCATGGCGTGTGATGGTGTGTTTTTTATCCGAGTAAAAACGAATTCCTCGTGTTTTTTTTTATGGGGAAAAAACTTTATACTTGTTAACTAAAATCCTGTGGTGGGTCAATCCTTTGTGGTATGTTTGTGAGTGCATTGCTCTTTTGTACAGACACGTTTTGTGAAAGTGTTGATGTGCTTTTGCCCAGGAGGGCCTATCTGAGGATCGATACTTTCAGAAAGTTTGTTCTTGGGATGTTTGGTCCAGTCGTCGGTATATCAGATGCGTGCCTTTTTTACATCTGGGAGGGAGCTGCAGTGGCCAGACGAAATCGTCACAGAGCCGTGGAGAAATCGCAAGACTTCACACGGCTTGTGGAACCTACTCCTGCCAACATGCAACGTGTCACCTGCGACCTTTGACAGTTTCCCGACCAGGTCTCTTATAGAAGAGAACGTGAACGCCTTGGCAAAGTGGCGGGTCAACAATCGCCGTGAGAAATACAAAAACGGTGCTGTGCTTATACTTTTACAAAGTTCTCGGAGCTGAAATCACTTTTACACGTGTGCCTTAAAGTGTGCAGTGTTGATATGAATATTAACGTTTTTTTTTTTATCTTTAAACTGTGAAACGGGGCCTTGATATTTTAAGGGTCAAAATTGCGTGTTATTTTTTTTGTAAATAAAGATTTGTTTTTGTGTTTTGTTTATCTGTGGCTTTAGTGAACAATAAAGCATGGCACTGCCATTTAATGGCATTCCCTCCAATCTATCCTGGTGTCCGCGCCCTAACTTCACGTAAGTTTCGAGTCCCAGCTGCACCTCCGATTAGCACGGTTGGCCACGCATGGTACAAAATAAGTTCTACATACATTAAAGTCCATAATAAAGGTGTTTGAGTTAAATCGCATAAATATGAATGTGTCGTTAAACCCGCCACCACCCGACAGCCAATTGGTAAGGTGCGTCACGTAAACAAAACGTGTCAATTAGTGACTAGTTCAGCACACTGGTGTGTCGGAGAGTAAACCCACAACATGTACAATTTGAGTACGAAATTTCACTGCTCATTACAACCAACTCCATCAAGCGATTAACCAGAATTGTGAATAGCATCCATACCAAACTAGTTCCTCGTTTTCACGGACCTCTCAAACTTCGAGACGTCATCGTGGCCACACGCCATTGATGCCACCCAGACCTCATTGCTGCTATCAGGAGACGTTTCTGCTCTTAAAGAGAAACCTGACCAAACCGTGAAGATTTGCTCGATTATGGTTTTCAACACAAACGCCATTGAGTAAAAACCGGTAAACATCTTCCCTGATATGACTAACAGCGTCAGAACTAAAACAGTCCCCGCCTCCCCTTGTAAAATTAACAAAACGATGCATTTTGCTTTCAGCCAGTGGTAGTGTAATCCCCGCTTGTTGCAGAGGTTGACGGTTGGAATCCAGCGGCCGCCCTGGTTAGTGCTGTGGATGTATTAACCAACAACAAGCCGCACGCTGTCTGCTTCACAGGAACGTTTCCGTGACGCAATTCGCAAGAATAGGTCGTGGTTCCAATTTGTGCCAAGTTTCATAGTTATGCCACGGGGAATATGCATCGCAATCGTCGCCCCCGACTGGTTAAAGCGGTGCCGTGTGTCACGTGTGGGGACAATGAGCCTCCATCAGGCAAGGGGCAGTCCATAAATGACGTCACGCGATTTTGGACGATTTTTGACCCCCCCTCGTCACAAAAAGTCAGACCCCCCCCCCCTCAAATATGACTGCCCCCCCCCCAAAAAAAAAAAACATCAAATCGCTTTAAACGATTGTCATTGTAGTGCGTATTTAATGTGCCGCTGCACGCTGATGTTGTAGGAGAAAACATTTATTAAAAGTCTATTTAATTAAGTAGAACGTGTTGTCTATATTTATTAAAAGTTGCGCATTTTGATGTGACGTCACATTTCTCAAACCCCTCCCCCCTCGTCACATCGTCACAAATTTGTACTCGAAGCAAGCAAAGTAATTTGTCTAAACCAACTTTCGTTCCAAGATTTTGTTTTAATTGAGTATTGAATAGAGTTCATGCTCTTTTTTATTCTTCTCATGCAACGCAGTTGGTTTTTGATTCGATTTCTATTTGCCTCACGTCTGTACTTTTTATTTAACATCATTGCTTTTCTCATTTTCGTGGCCTCAGGTCGCAAGCTGAGACTTTCGTGATCTCTAAGAAGAGTTATCACGCGGTTAAAACAAAACGAACTGAAGAGAAACCAAACAGAATGAAGCAAATACAAGCAGACAAATTCGCCTCCTTCCCATAAAATGTCCCTCCACATCAACACATTGTTTTTTACACATCCCATCAGCCAGACAGTTTTCCTGGAGTAATTATTTTAAATCAGCATTGGCTTAATATAATGACATCATAATAACAGTCTGGACCACTGTACAGGTTCCGCTGGATTGGAAGGATGCCCTGGTGGTCCCTCTCTTTAAGAGGGGGACCGCACAGACTGTAACAACTACAGGGGCATCTCACTCAGTGTACCGGGAAAGGTCCTGGCAAGGATTATTCAACACTGCCTTGCCAAGAAAGCTGAGGAGAGGCGTGCGGAGTCCCAATGTGGTTTCAGGAAAGGGTAGTCCTGCACAGATGCCATCTTTTCTGTCCGTCTGCTATATCAGAGGTGTAGGGAATGCCAACAACACCGACATCTAAGCTTTATTGACATGGTTAAGGCTTATGATACTATCAGTAGGCCTGGGCTCTTGGTTGTTCTTCCTGCTTTCAGAGTCCCTGACTCTCTGCTCACAATCATTAAGGACCTTCGTGATGGTGAGCGGGCCCGGGTAAAACTACGTGGACGGGAGTCGGAGCCATTCTCTGTTCACCTTGGAGTGCGACAGGGATGTTCTCTGGCCCCCACATTATTTAACATCTATTTCGACCACATAGCTTGTGAAGTTTTCGATGGCTGTACCGGAGGAATTTCCATCTGGTACAGATACAATGGGAGGCTGATCGATGCCCGGGTGCGGTCAAGAGATGGCTCCCTAATGGTCAACCACGTTATGTATGCTGATGATCTGGTGATTGCTGCTCACTCAGAGGAGGAGTTGGGGACGCTGCTGCTGAACTTGGGGCTTGCCACTAAGAGGTGGGGCCTTACCACCAGCCCCACCACAACCAAGCACCTGCCTTGGTATTTTGAACCATCAGACACTCCACCCTCACAACTACCAATCGGCGATGGGGCAGTTGTGGAGAGAGTCGAGAGTTTCCCATACCTGGGCATTGTCCTCATGACCGGCTTCAGTGCGACAGCAGATGTCTCACTCCGAATCAGTTGAGCGGCATTATCTTTTCATTGCATAACGCTGTGTGGAAGCTACCTGGTCTCTCGCTCCACACGAAGCTTTAGGTCTTCTCGGCCATGGTCATGCTCTCCCTTCTCTACACTTGCGAATCATAGACCCCCATAATGGAACATCTTCGCCAGTTAGAAACATTTTGGCTGACCTGCCTACGATCTTTCCTGGATTTAACCGGCTGGATTGTGTAAGGAGCTCACAAATTCTTGAAAGATCTGGGCAAAGTCCCATTGGGGAGCTCCTCCGGCAGGCAAGGCTGCGTTGGCTGGGTCATGTAGCCCGCATGCCCAGCCACCGCAGGCCTAAGCAGCTTTTGTTCGGCCGGATCGAGGGGGCTTAACGGGCGTTGCACGGGATAGAGTAGAGATGGAGTGATGTGGTACAGGAGGACGTGGAGCTGAGTGGACTTGCCAATGACTGGTACCAGCGGTGTCAATATCGGCCTCTGTGGAAGAGGCTCGTGAAGGACGCTACTGGGCAGTTGGAGGCAGTCTCTCTCCAGCAACAACGGAGGGCAGAGGAGTGACGCTCACAACAACGAGCGGAGCGCCGAGTGGCTAAAGCACAGCAAGTTGGCACAGTAGGGGCACAGGTGGTGCATCGGCCAGTCAGTCGACCCATGGCACCTGGGTTTGTCCCGTGACCTGTCGGCGGGCGTTCGACACTTCACGTGGCCTCAACGTGGACATAGCCTGTCACAAGAGCCGTGGTGACATCGCCGCCACTTAGTGGCGAATGGCGGTTATTGTTGTTATTGGGTGGGCCAACACCAGTGACGATTATCTAAGCCGGTTCTGGGCCTCCCCTAGGTTGACTCAGCCTGAAGTGAGTACCTGGTGCGGTGTGTAATCATCGCCATTAGGGAGACAAAGGCGGCCGGGCGTGGTGTTGGCCACCCATCCCTTCGTGTGCCGTGACGGTCTTCATATATGCTCGTTAAACAGCACTTGCCCCAACAGTCTGTTAAGGCTACACGGAGATCTTTGTATATTCCAACAACAACTGAGGGTAAGAGAAGTGACACTCACAACAACGAGCGGGGCGCCGGGTGGATAAAATATAGCGAGTTGGCACAGTAGGGGGGCACAGGTGGTGATGCATCTCCTGGTCATCTCAGTCAGCCCATGGCACCTGCTGGGTCTGTACCGTGACCTCCTGCACCGAGCCTGGCACAGTAGGGGGTACAGGTGGTGGTGCATCTACCGGTCATCTCAGCCAGCCCATGGCACCTGCTGGGTCTGTCCCGAGACCTCCTGCACCTAGCCTGGCACAGTAGGGGGTACAGGTGGTGGTGCATCTACCGGTCATCTCAGCCAGCCCATGGCACCTGCTGGGTCTGTCCCGTGACCTCCTGCACCTAGCCTGGCACAGTAGGGGGTACAGGTGGTTGTGCATCTACGGGTCATCTCAGCCAGCCCATGGCACCTGCTGGGTCTGTCCCGTGACCTCCTGTCAGCGAACCGTCGACACTTCACCACACCTGTCAACCCCTTATCAGTGCCCTACCTTATTACAGACCAATGCAGACCTCATTGGTCACCCCGTGCCCTTATAAATATCAACCTTCATCCGACAAAGTCGCATCACAAGGGGAAAAACACAAACAAATAGACAAAAATATGATGATTTTTTCTGCCCGTATTGAAACGGCTGTACGCCCTTTGCACCTCAAAACTCAATGTCCCTGCACCTGCAGAACACAGGTAAACCGAATGGGTTGACAGCATGCTTCAACGTGGCCTCAAGGTGCACCTAGCCTGGCACAGGCGCCGTGGTAACGTCACCGTCACGTCGTGGCGAACGGCTGTTGTATCGGTGTGTGTCTTTGTTGTATCGGTGTCTGTGTGTCTGCGCGCCTGCGCGTGCACACACACGCGCGTGTTGATGTTTACGTGTTATTGGTTCTTTCGGAAAAGTCACGTAAATAGAAAACAAAAAATCTAAATGTTTTAAATAAAATAAAAATAATTAAAATAATAAAACAAAAATTATACATTTACTAAAAAATAAAATAAAATATTTTAAATAATAAAAGCAAAAAACCCACGACGTTTCGATCGCAACACAAGCGATCTTGGTGTACGCGCGCGGGGAGCGGTGGCGCAGCGGTTAGCGCACTGCGCCACTGAACCGGGCGCCATCCCGAGTTCGACTCCCGCTCACAGTCACCAGAAGCGCTGATGTAGATACTCGATATTCATTTGTTAATCTTTAAACAATCACAACACAACACGCGATGCCATCCCCAGCCTCTGGGAGCTCTCCCCTCGCTTTGAGACTCGCGAGCTGACGTCAGCCGGAGCTGTCAACAGAGAAGAGGAGGAGGGGGGGAGGAGAGGGGAGGGGGAGGAGGAGGGGGAGGAGGAGGGGGTGGAGGAGGGGGTGGAGGAGGGGGAGGAGGAGGGGGAGGAGAGGGGAGGAGGAGGGGGGAGGGAGCAGAAGGGAGGGAGGAGGAGGAGAGGGAGGAGGAGGTGTAGGAGGAGAGAGGAAAGGAGGGGGAGAGAGAAGGGAGGAGGGGGAGCAGAGGGGAGGGAGGAGGAGGGGAGAGGGGAGGGGAGGAGGAGGGGGGAGAGGGGAGGGGAGGAGGAGGGGGGAGAGGGGAGGGGAGGAGGAGAGGGGAGAGGGGAGGAGGAGGAGGGGGAGAGGAGAGGAAAGGAGGGGAGGGAGGAGAGGGGAGGGCGGAGGAGGAGGAGAAGAGGGCGGAGGAGGAGGGGGAGGAGAGGGGAGGGAGGAGGAGGAGAGACGCGCTCCTGCCCCTACGGCTGCTTTGTCCGGGCGAGAAGGTCCACGCACACACACACATATATATATAAGGCGGCGGCGGAGGACGAGGAGTACGAGGAGGAGGACGAGGTAGAGAGAGGCGATGGCCACGACGATGCAGCTGGGCCGAGTTCTGCAGCAGGCGGCGCGCTGGGGGCTGCTGCGGGGCGCAGTGCGGGCGGGGCCGGGGGCCGCACACCAGCGAGCCGGTGCGTGTGTGTGTGTACACGTGTGTGTGTGTGTACACGTGTGTGTGTGTACACGTGTGTGTGTGCACGTGTGTGTGTGCACGTGTGTGTGTGTGTACGCGTGTGTGTGTGTGCACGTGTGTGTGTACACGTGTGTGTGTGTACACGTGTGTGTGTGTACACGTGTGTGTGTGTACACGTGTGTGTGTGTGTGTACACGTGTGTGTGCGTGTGTGTGCACGTGCGTGTGTGTGTGTACACGTGCGTGTGTGTGTGTGGTTGCATAACGCGTGTGTGTGTGTGATTGCATAACGCGTGCGTGTATGTGTGTGTACACACGTGTGTATGTGTATTTGTTTATGTGTGTGTCGTGTGAATGTGTGCGTGTGTTTGTGCATGTGTGTTTGTGCATGCGTGTTTGTGCATGTGTGCATGTTTGTGCATGTGTGCGTGTGTGTGCATGTGTGTGTGTACATGTATGCGTGTGTTTACGTGTAGTGTACGTATGTCTGTATGTCTGTGTGTCTGTGTGTGTGCAGGTGTGTGTGCATGCATGTGTAGGTGGATGCACGTGTGTGTCGTCGTGTGCATGTGCGTGCTGTTGACTGTGCGATTGCGCGTGTCTGCCCGTACATTCCTGCATGTGTGCGTGTACGTGTGGGTACATGCATGTGTGTATACATGTATTTGTGTACGTGTGTGCGTGCGTGCATATGTGTGTGTTTGTGTGCACGTCTTTGGGTCTGGGTGCGTCTGTGTGTGTGTATGCATCTGTGTGTATTGATGTCCACGTGTTTGTGTTCGTGAGTGGGGAGGCGCTGACGCTGCGATTATCACACCGGCGACCCGAGTTCGATTCCCGCTCATGACACAAACCTGAACCGGTCACCTGGGAATGCCTCGTGCGGTAAACACAGATCACCATCAGGGTGGCCGGGCGTGGTTCTGGCCACCCACCCCCTCGTGTGCCCTGTCGGCATTCATTGGGTGCTACTCGCTAACAGCACTTGCCCCGACAGTCTGCTACAGGGGCATCTTCGTCTCTGCTGTTGATTTGTATGAAGACGGCGGTCACCGCATCGCGTGGCGCTTTCAGATGCGCTTCTGCGGCCGTCTGGAACGCTCTTCCTTCCGATATTAGGAAGCCGCTGGAGCTATGCACTTTTAAATCGTTATCTAGAGTGTAAATTCATTCTTTAGAATTGCTATTTGTTGTTAAGTTTGTTGTCCTTCCCCCGCACCACCGATTAGCACGGTTGGCTACGTACGGTGCGAAAGAAGTTCATACAATAATTTCGTTCAACGTACATACATACATGCATTCATGCATTACGCACTGCGTACAACACAGTAATGTGTGTGTGTGTCTTTGTCTTTGTGAGTGGCGATTATCTGAACCGGTCCTGGGCCTCCCCTAGGTCGACGTAGACTCAAATGAGCACTTGCCCCAACGGCCTGTTAAGGCTATACGGGGGGTCTTTGTCTTTGTGATGCCACAGTCAATTCTCTCCACTGTGCTACCAATCGGACTCGAGAACCCGAGTTCGATTCCCAGGCATGAACAACATCGGTGGCAGATTGTATCTAAACCCGACGTGTACCCCCTCTAGGTAGACTCGGCGGTAAACGAGCTCTAGGTGTAGTCTGTAAACAATAGGTTACTGTACAGTACTCGGAGCTGGGAGTTGGCAATGACAAAAACAAGCTTTACCTTGTGTGTGTCCACGTGGTCGACCTTAACACGTGCTCGCTAATGGAACTTGCACATCATAATAATTGCAAATTGCAACGCGGACAGCATTTGCTCACTCTCCAGGACAGACACAGAGTGAGAGAGATTGACTCACAGGCGGCGAGGATGAACCACAAGGCAAGTGGGATGGCAGCAGCAGCCAGGCGGTGAGCTGGCGCCAACAATTTCCCAAGCTCTGCGGTCCTCTATATATCTCTCTATATATTAAGATGCGCTCAGCCAAGCAATGAGTGTTTATTGTATGGGAGGAAACCAGAAACAGCCGGAGAAAACCCACGCGTGCGAGGGCGCAACACTCGATCCCGCACGGCACAGGCTTAACCGCCGTTCCCTGGCAGATCCAGGATTATACCACCTCCTCTAATGCCCACGGAGAGGGAGATTCACAACATGTAAGCGATCCACACTGTCGCCTGCGAGGGTCCGTGCGTGTGGTGTGTAGGGAGCGGTGGTGTAGCGGTTAGCGCGCTGCGCTACGAACCCGGCGACCAGAATTCGATTCCTGCTCACGGCCAACACCAGTGACGATTATCTAAACCGGTCCTGGGTCTCCCCTAGGTTGACTCAGCCTCAAATCAGTACCTGGCGTGGTGTGTAAACATCACCACTGGGGAGACAAAGGCAGCCGGGCGCGGTGTTGGCCACCCACCCCCTCGTGTGCCGTGCCCGCCTTCATAGGTGCTCGCTAACAGCACTTGCCCCAAAAATCTGTTAAGGCTACACGGGGGATCTTTGTGTCCCGTGTGGAGCGTTAGTTTAGTGATAAGCGCACTGAACCCGGCCACCCGAGTTCAATCCCCGCTCGTGACCTAGAACAGATAACAGTGTCCTGGGCCTCCCCTAGGTCGACTCAGCCTCGATAATGTGCGTTCACTCGAGCCCCTCTGTGCCAAGCGTTGCCCCCAAGGCCTCGTGTCCACGACCAGCGGTGAAGCCGGTCGGCTTGGTTCGTCAACGGGACCTGGACGGGCATGGCCCCACGTTTTCACGGCAACGTGGTCCCGAGCTCAAGTTGACAAGCTCGTGAGACGGATGGCTCGCTCTTCACGCCAAGCCACGCGTTCGCATTGATTCATTATAACCTCCAAAAATTGCTCGTCTAAAATAAAATCAACAAGAGAAAAATTGGTGATATTTCATGGCCTTTCTTCATTGCAGAATATTTGTTTATATATTGGAGGAATGCGATGAGCTTTAAAGCTATTTTTCCCCACACATGTCTCGTAGGGGCTGGTCATCAAGTGACAACAACAACAATAACAATACAACAAAATACGATCGGAATAAACAAGAAAAGTATGGCTTTTAAGATTTTATCTTGAAACGGGTAAAAAACCGGTCGGGCAATAAATGCGAATTTTCGCCATGGGGACCTGGTTACCCTGGTTACCGAAACCTGGTAACAACAACAACAACAAAAACCATGAAAAAAATACAAAAACAACAATACAGAATCAGAATATGAATTTATCCTGCAGGAGGAATCTGAGGAGCTGTCCAACTCAAACTTGATTTGAAGCTTTCGTGACTGCAGGAATTACTCTTTGGTTCTTTCGGTAAAGTCACGTAGACAGAAAGTAAATTAAATAATAGAATACGACGTTTCGATCGCAACACAAGCAATCGTCATCAGGTAGAAAACAAACCTAATAAACTTAGAAATGCAATGCAATACAACACAGAGAGTCGGCTAACACAACAGTCAACACCCTACCTGGTTGATTACGTTCTTCCAAAGATTGCTAAATTTGAGAGAGAGACAAAACACAGACACGGGGACACACAGACAGACACACAAGCAGAGAGAGACAACACAGAGAGAGACACAGAGAGAGACACAACATAGACACACAGATAGAGACACACACAGACAGACACACAAGCAGAGAAAGACAACACAGAGACACACAGAGAGAGACACACAGAGAGAGGCACACACATAGACACACAGAGAGGGACATAGACACACACATGGACACACAACTCTGTTTCACAGATGTCCAGTCAGGGCGGGTAAGAACGCAACAACAACAAACAGTACAAACACACGATAGGAGTGCAAAGTACAATAAAGGTAAACAAATCACCAAAACACACACACAAATACAACAACTAAACCATCCCCATCCTGCCATACAAAGTCCACCGAGGTATTAACTTATTGTTCAAAAGCGGCCTGGCCACAAACGATAGCACACGGTCACGTAAGGTCGTACATCATCGACATGGTACAACTGGCGCAGATGAACACGAGGCTAATAGAACACATTGCATAGAGAGCACGTTTCAATGCAGGTTGTTCTCCGAACCACTCATGGCATTACGGCCCCCCCCCCCCCATTAATGTCCTTCGTTTCAATTTAAGGGCCATGTTTTTGCATTTATTTTACGCAGAAACATTTTTATGTAGAAATAATCAAAATTCGAGTAGCATGACCGAACCCAGGGGTCGGCAAACCTGCGGCTCCCAGAACCGTGTGCGGCTCTTTTAGGACCGTATTCTTAGGTTTTTTCGGTAAAGTCACGTCGGTAAAACATCAAAATTAATAAAAATAAAATAAAACAAAAATCACGACGTTTCGGAGGCAACACAAGTTTCCGTCATCAGGTGGGACCGTCACAGCCGGATTAGCTGCATCAAGTGAGGCAATGATTCAAGATGTAATCCCTTAAAAGCAAGTTGAGGGGGAGGAGAGGGGGGGGGGGGGCTCATCAGAATGTGGTAGCCAATGAATGGACCGCTTTGTAACGTCATTTAGTAAGGACCAGGGCGTCTTGTGTTCACCACGCGGTGCATTGTGGCTCTTGAAATATTGAACTTTTTTAAACCGAATTCGAAAAAATAAAATGTCTCTTCTTGTCATTTTGGTTGCAGACCCCTGACTAAACTTTTACATCTAGTTATAATCGCACTTCCCTCTGGCTGTGGAAGGTAGGGAGCAGTGATTGAGATGTCACAGAAGGGCGATTGAGACGTCACAGAAGCCACCAAAAACACTGAGAGCCACCACGGTCAGTGCCTCCTCTGCTCACCCCGACACCGCCGCTTCCACTCGCGATGTGGCGATCGCTTCTTCTCTCAACACTCTCGCTCCTCTGCGTTCAAACTCCCAGTTCACTCTCAGATCTTTACCCGGCCAGCCGTCCTTCCGTCCTGTAATTCTCTCGTTTTTGGTCTCCCTGCCGATGCTCTGTCACTCCCATCCAACAATTTGGTAATGTTTCCGCGCGGGGTGATTGTCAATCCCTCCATGAATTCTCACACGTC